GGAGGGCGAGCCGGCGTCGAAGCGGGTCAAGGAGGACGACGAGGCGAATGCGGCCGCGGCGGCGGCGGTGGCGACGCCCGACGAGCTGCCGGCGCCCGCCACGCGCGAGGACAAGCACGCCGCCGACCGCGCAGCCAAGCACTCGACCAACGACGGCTTTGGCATGCCCGGCGGCCTGCCGTACAAGGAGGACCCGTTCGCCTACGTGCCTTACACCAACGACCAGATCCAGTCGGTGCTCAAGTTCTTTGACTTCAAGCCCACGTTCCCCAAGCACAACTTCCTCGTGCGCAACCCGGAGCACAACCCGGTGCGGAGCGTCTACTTTACGTCTACGGCTGCGCGTGCGCTGATCACGGGCGGCGGCGAGGGGCGCGGGCCGCACCCGCACATGAACCCGCTGCACCTGCGGCTGATCAACTGCGGCGTCAAGGCGCTGGGCAAGCAGGATGCGGGCAAGGAGGTGCAGCTCGAGTGCAAGTGGCGGATCATCAACGACGCGCTGCTCTCGATGCGGCCGCACATCGAGGAGCGGAGCATTATCCGGATCGACCTGTCGGACCTGACGTTCCTGATCGCCAACTACTTCCCCACGCTCGACCGGGTGCCGGGCGCGTTTGGCGAGGTGCTGCGCTCGCGCAAGATTGGCGGCCACGTCGTCGACGTGGTGCCGAGCGAGCACAACGGCCACACGCTCGACGACGCGCTGAGCTTCCCCATCTGGCGGGCGGCCAACAGCGTGCACCTGATGCTCGACAAGCAGGAGCGCAGCGCGCTGTCGTTCCGCCTCTACGACACCGACGTGTCCAACCCGGACGGCACGCGCCAGTTTAGCGCGCAGCAGGGCGGCAAGCCCAAGAAGAAGCCGGAGCCGCTCACCACCGAGGAGGCCATGGCCGACGCCGAGGATGCCGCCCGAGCTGCTGCCGCTGCGGCTGCCGTCGCTGCCGCCACTGCCTCGACGTCGTCTTCGTCCGCTGCCGAGGCGGCACCCGCCGCCGTCACCGCCGTCACGACGGATACGGCGCCGACGACGACGGCGACGCCCGACGAGGTCGACCCGCCCGCTGCCGAGTAGGAGCGAGGTCCAGGGCCGTCTCTGCTTCCTTTGTACATTGTCCCGGCATGATCCGCCTGGCCGTCGTCTAAGCTGAAACCCAGGTGGTCGGTCTCCCGTTTCGACCGCTCCTCGACCTCATGTCTCTCTTCTCTCTACGTGTCTGCGGTGGTTGCGTTGGCCTGGCCGACGGAGCGTGCGTGCTTGCGAGCAGAGGCTCGGCTAAAATTAGAGTCGGTTGGCCGGTCCTGGCCTGGCCTGCTTCTTCGCTTTGCCTGAACCCTGAGCGAGAAGAAGCTCGGGTCAGGAAGCAAACGGGGGCGGCGCCTCTTCTTCTTCCTATTCCCTCCTCTCTCCCCGGCACGCCACCCCGCCTCTATCCCCCACTGCCCCACACCTCTCATTCGACAAAGGCCACATAGATCGACCCCTGATCCTAGAGATACAGACAACAAACGGACGAACCGACGACGGTCACGACGACGACGAGCAACAGGAGGGAGCATGACGGTACCACCCCACGACGACGGAGCGGGGGACGTGTCGGGCTACCGCAACTCGCTCGAAGAGGCCGAAGCGCTCGACGCCATCGATCCGCTGCGACACTTTCTCGCCGCCTCTCCTTGCCCCGACGACCACGACAACGGCAACGGCGACGATGACGATGACGATGGCAAGGACATGCGCGACGTCAGGACGGCCACCGACTTTTCCATTGTGCCCGTTCAGAGGGATAGCATCATCAACCAGCGCGTGACGATACGCTACTATACCGACGCTTCGGTCGCGCCCATCACCTTTGACCCCGCTTCACCGCCACCAGCGTCTCCAACGACGACGGCGACGGTGGAGGGAGATGGGGAAGGGCAGCGTGGCAGGGCGTGGTACGATGTGGTCCTCACGCTCGATATGACCGAGGGATGCGGTGGCAAAATCTGGCCCGCCGCAGAGGTCCTCGGCGCCTACATCGCTTCCAAGCATGCACCCGCTGCCTCCTCCTCCTCTTACTCCTCTGCTGAATCGACGACGTCTTCGGGCTGGAAGGGAAAGACGGTGGTGGAGCTCGGGAGCGGGACGGGCTTGGTGGGCTTCCTGGTCGCCAAGATGGGGTTGGGATGCCGGGTCTGGGTGACGGACCAAATGTGAGTGTCGGGCCGCGCGGCTCCCCGACTATGCGACATCGCACGGCTCCTTTGATCACGTTGCTCAGACCCCTCCCTCCCTCCCCTCTGCCTCGACGACACACAGACCGATGCTGCCACTAATGACGTCGAACCACGCCCTCAACCAGGCGGAAATGGTCGATCCTTGCCTCGTCGAAGAGCTAAACTGGTACGTCCCCTCCTCCCTCTTTCCTTCGCCATATGCACCCTCGACTGACACCCATCACTACCACCACCACGATAACGCCGAAGGGGCCAACCGCTACCCGCCACGGTGCCGCACAAGCCAGACGTGCTCCTCCTGGCCGACTGCGTCTACCTCGAAGTGGCCTTCCAGCCCCTCGTAGACACGATGCTCGCCCTCTCGGGCCCATCGACCGAGATCCTGTTTTGCTACCAGAAGCGCAGAAAGGTTCGTAGCCTCCGTCGTTCCTCGTTCCTCGTTCCTCGCTCTCTACTCCCCCCCCCCCCCCCCCCCCCACCCCCTCTGGCCATCCGACGTCTGACGCCACTTCCACTCTCCTTCCCCGGGCGCCTCGACTGCCAAACCGAACCGATTCGACTCGACAGGCCGATAAGAGATTCTTTAACCTCCTCAAACGCCACTTTACCTTTGCCGACGTCCAGGACGATGATGAGCAGAGGACGAGGGCGTACCGCAGGCAGGGGACGCAGCTGCTCCGCGTCGTCAAGAAGCAGACCAAGTAGACGAGGATAGATGCGTGCTGCAGCGGCAGCGGCAGCGGCAGCGACGGCACGATGTACAACAACAGACATGGGGCTCGCGATCATGACATGGGACTTTGATCGATCGATCGATCGACGCCGACGACGCCAACGACGCCGACGACGCCGACGACGACGCACCGCGGGCTGGGGCTCCCCTGCTCGAATGGGGTGGCACAGCAGGGCAAGGCAAGGCAAGGCAAGGCAAGGTATGGCATGGCATGCAGGTGGCGCTTCGTCTCCGATCGACCCTTACACGGCTGGCATCGCGAGGCTTCAGCAAATGACGCAGCAGGCCGTCGTCTTGTCGACGATGCCCTGCGACCCTCCCGCCGCACCGTCCGCCGAGCCGGCCGCACCGCCTCCGCCTGCCCCGGACCCGTCGCCGTCGAGCGTCACGGTACCCGCCGCCCGCCCGTTTCTCGCTCTTGACCGCGCGTTGCGCCCCAGCGTGCTCTCGTCGCCCGCCGCCGACGCAAACTTGGCGTGGATGTCCTTTGCGGCTTGCGTAAACGCCTCTTGCACGTTCTGCACAGACAGAGACAGGGAGGGGGGCACGACGAATGATGGTGTCGACGATGGGAGGCGGCCGAGGTGAGCATGCGGGACATCTAGTGATGGATGGCTGCTGCCGTCGATGTGCGGCAGCGCCGTCTCGACGCTACTCACGTGGCCCGTCTTTGCGCTCGTCTCGAGGAACAGCAGTCTGCAGTGATACAGATGGGCCGATGGGAAAGGGTCAGCCTGGTGCAAGCACCTCCGCCGCACGCTGCCATTCTCTGCGCGGCCATCACCACTCACCCTTCCTGCTCTGCAAACTCTCTCGCCTCCTGCGTCGTCACCTCCCGTTTCTTTCCCTTGCTCCTCCGCCTCTCGGTGCGCGCTCTCGGCGTCATTGCCTCGGCCGTCGCACCGCCGCCGGAACCCTCCTGTGTTTCGTCTTCGACGAGGTCAGACATGTTGCCGACGAGGACAATGGTGACGCGCTCCTCTGCGTGGGAGCGTACGTCGTCGAGCCACGTCTTGGCGTTGAGGAACGACTGCCGATGAGTGATGTCGTAGACGAGCAGGGCGCCGGCCGCGCCTCGGTAGTAGGAGCGCGTGATCTGCGCGGGGCAAGGCGAGGGCGAGGGCGAGGGCGAGGGCGAGATTAGTTCAGGTAAGATGATATGAGAGAGAAAGAGATGAGATTCCGCCGCCGACCTGACCATGTCGCAGGGACGCTGGCCGGATCGGCGGAGCGTGCGGGCGCCACTCACGCTTCTAAAGCTCTCGCTGCCCGCCGTGTCCCACACCTGCACCTTGACGGTCTCGCCGTTGTCGAGCTGGATGAGGTGGGAGCCGAACTCGACGCCGATGGTGGGGTCTGGGTCGGTGAGGAAGCGGTCGTCGGTGAGGCGCACGAGGAGCGACGACTTGCCGACGGACGAGTCGCCGATGAGGATGAACTTGACCATGACGGTCCAGTTTGCGCCTCCGGTGCCCCCCGCGGCGGCGGCCTGGCCGGCCGAGGACGAGGCGTTGTAGGAGCCCGAGGGGATTCGGATCGGTGCCATGGCTAGGCGTGAAGCAGGAGGCAAGGGTGGTCCTGCGACGATGGGTGTGGCAAAGGGTGCAGCACGGCGAATGGCGCTGGAAATGCAAAGGCGAGTCGGTGTGGGTCGCGTGCGGAGGTTGTTATCGTCCGGGGCAATCGGAGCAGGCGAGGGTGGGGCTAGGGGCGTGGACGATCCTCAATGGTGCACGGTGAGCAGTGCAGTGCAGTGCTGTCGAGTGAGGAGTCGGCCAGGATGACGAGGAGGTGGTGTTGTTGGTAGGTGGTGAGAGGCGAGGCTGGCGGTGGTGGTGGTGGTGGTGACGGCGGCCAGACGAGGGTGGGCGCGCCTCTCAGCTCGGGCGAGGTGATGCGAGGCGGGTCGAGGCGAGGCGGGGGCAGGCCAGCGTGGGTTGAGCCGGCCAGGCCAAAGCGGGCCATGCGAGATCCAACCCTGCCCGCCTGGCCGCCTGGCCGCCTGGCTTGCCCCCCTTCGTCTGGCGCGCACTTGCCGACTGCTTCTTGCACTCTTGCACCTGGCCGCCTGGCCGCGTGCCTCGTGTCATGATGGCCTGCTGCCGCTGCCGCCCCTTTTTCTGCCCAGCGACCTTTGCACCTCTGCCTCGCTCCTTTGCCTCCGACGACCTCCACTTTGGCTAGCCCCACGCTGCCGCACGGCCCTCTGACGCCTCCATATCGATCCTCCTTTCACGCTTCATACACGCACCCACAGCGAGCGCAGCGTTCCCAGCACACGACGGCAAGCAAGCAAGCAAGCCGCAGACTACTCTGGTAGTCACATAGCAGCGCAGCCCAGCTCAGACTAGTGGCCATGACTTCCTAGCTGACCACCACCGACAGCGCCCGCAGCGCTGACTCGCCACCGCCAACCTAGACAATGTCGAGCACCCAGCCATCGCCCAGGCGCTCGTTGTGCTCGTTGAGCCCACCCTGGACAACGATCCGCGTGCCATCCTGCCCGTGACCGCTCGCACCCGCAGAGAGGGGCAGCGCGTCGTAGCCAAACCAGCCGCGCGCTTCGGGCACCTTGCCCTCGACCGAAAGCCGCTGGAAGCTGTACGCTCCCGACTTGGACCGCAGCAGCAGGTAGGCGTCCGACAGGAACTGAGCAGCATATCGGCCATGGCCACCGAGCGAGCGAAAACGAAGTGATGGGCAGAGTTAGAACAGCGGGACGTCAACGTCAGTCAAGCCATCAGCGACAGATGCAGGCCAGCGCCATGCCCGACGTGGGCGCCACCCAAGAGGCCACCGTGCTACCGGGTCCGACACTCACCTTGCCAGCGCCGTCGTGTCCGAGCTCCTTGGGAGCGCCCTCGCCCTCGCCCATAAACATGACGGCCAGCGCCTGCTTCTCCTCGCCGCCGCCCGTCGCCACCTTGCGATCGCCAAACAGCTCGACGAAGCCGTGCACGCTCCTCTTGGACGGCTCGACGCCCTCGCCCTCGACCTTGGCGTCGTGGCTGCTCCACGCGTTGCTCTTGGGGTCAAAGACGTCGAGCGGGCCGCCAACCTCGTGGCCGCAGAAGCCGCCCCACCTGGCCAGCAGCTTCCTTGCTGGTTCACCGGGCGCGGCGATGGTCGTGATGGCCGTACCGCCCCTCGCGGGCCCGGGCGCGTCGGGCAGCTTGGTCCACTTCCTCGTCGCCACGTCGAGCACGTGCAGGCTGGCCAGGCGACCCTGGACGGGGCAGCCGGCGTGGACGTAGACCTTGTCCCGGTCCTTTGCCTCGTGGATGCCGACGGCGGTGCCGTAGCTGCGCATCGGCGGCTTGTCGCCGGACGTCTCGAGGGTGAACCAGCTGGCCGTGTCGCGGTCGAAAACCCACACGTCTTCGTAGTCCGAGTAGGGCAGCGGCGCCATCTCCTTGCCGCCCCTGCCTCCCCACAGGAGCAGGCAGGTCTTTGTGAGGTCCGGGTGGCGGAGCAGGTGGGCGCCCACCCTCGCCACGGGCCACTGGGCCGCGTCGCCCTGGCCGGGGGACGAGGGGGCAGCGTGGGTCAAGACGTCGGCCGGCTTGGCCAGGTCGCGATCGAAGGCGACGCGCAGCACGTCGGCCGAGATGGGCGTGCGGGGCTTGAGCTCGCCGCCAAAGACGTAAAAGGTCGAGGTCGAGATCATCGAGACGTTCTGCGACGAGCGCTGCAGCGCGTGCGCCGAGGCGGCGGGCAGACTGAGCGGGCGCCAGGTGGCGCGGAGCGTCGAGGTGGCCATGGCTGCGGCAGGTTGCAAGGTTAGGGGGACAGACGAGGGGACGAACGAGGCAGGCGGCGAAGAGGAGGAGGAGGAGGAGCCGGTGGAATGTGGCGCGTCGTCGGTGGGAGTGGTCGACGCGAAGATGGAGAGGAGCGAGCCCATCCTGGACGAGTCGAAGAAGGGCGAGCCAGCAAGCCGTTCGCTGGAGGTCGACGAGAGACGAGACGCAGAGAGGACCTTGCTGGTTACGCGCGACGAAGAGACGGAGCCCGACACAGCCACCCAGCTCAGCCCTCGTCGGCCTGGCCGTGCGTGCTCGCCAGCAGCATGTCGGTCCCCCTTCGGCAAGCATCCGACAGGCAAGAGGCGCCGGTGGGCAGCGTGGACAGGCCGGTCGGAAAGGCCGGCGCCGGCCGCAACGTGGCCTGCCAAGCGCGGGACAGCCCGATCGATGGGAACCCAACCTGGCTCGGCTTGTTGCCCGATGCACGAATGGGCTGCCGCTTGTTGCCGCTGCTCAAGGGCACACGGTCATGGGCCGGCTGCCGTATGAAGTCATGGCGGACAGAGACCCTGGCTCGGCCAGCCCAGCCTGCCTGCCGTTGCCGCCGCAAAGAGAGGTTGGGGATCATGCTGCGCTGCCTCCTCGAATCCTCGCAGCTTGCTAGGTACAGTACCCGCCTCGCCCCCGGGCCTGGCGCCGGCCGTCGCGGTCAGGCGATCCATCCACCGCTTCCCTCACTGGCCGTCCTTCGAGCTGAGCCACCACCACCATCACCATCGTTCGACCACGACCTCGACCTCCGCCCGCTCTCACCATCCGCGCCAGGAAACCGATAGACCCACATCCAGCTCACAATGGCCGCCCCACGGAGCCTCCGCAACCTCGTCCTCGCAGCGCGACCGGCGCCTATGGGGACGGCGGCGACCGGTCCGACCCGCCGCCTCTTTTCCTCGACCCCTCGTCGCTTCGATGACCAGTCCCGCGCAAAGGCCGCCGGTGTGAGTGTAGCTGCCTGCCTGCCTGTCCGCTCCCTCGAATATGAGCCCAGCCTCTCCTCTCCTCTTCTGGCGGCCGCTTTGACCCTGACTTGCTCCCCTTTTGCCTCTCTTGCCAACCGACCCGCCGCAACCCACAACGACGACGACGCACAGCTCAAGCAGACGATGCAGCGGCCCGAGATCACGCCCCTCTTCCTCTTTACGGGCGCCATTGCCAGCCTGGCCCTCTTCTTTGGCTTCCGACACCTCTTCACCGACCCAGAGCTCAACCTCGACCACCACGCCCGCCAGCGCCTCTCGACAAAGGCCGAGAACCTCGACTTTGACGCAATGGCCAAGGTCGCCGACGACCCGGACGGCAAGCTCACAAAGGAGGGCATGGAAATGGAGCGCGAGCGCTCACAGAGGAGGCAGGATATCAAGGATGAAAAGGCCGAAAAGGAGGGACGCAAGAAGCCCGAGTGAAACGACGTCGCTCCAGCGGTCCCCGGCCCTTTGCTGCTCCCGTCTTGTTTCGACCGATTTGCGCAGAGAAGAGTGTAGAAGAGCCAACGAGAAAGAGGAAGAAACAAGTTGCTTGCATCGTACACGATAAGAGATGGAGCCGCAACCGACAAAGAGAGTAGTGTTACAACCGGCCAGAGACGCCGGAAGAGTGCCTGCGAGGACAAGGGCCGAGGGTCAGGGCAGGTTTGAATGCCGCGCCGGATCGAGCATATACACGACGCCCTGTGCGACGCGAGGGCGACGTCCATGGCCAGAGCAGCGACCAGCAAGACCGGGTCCAGTCAGCGTCTATTCACCACATCGAGCGCCTCGCTTTGGCCCGCCCTTCGACTCACATTGTTCGACACTTTGGTGGCATGCTTGGCGGCGACCAAGGCAATTAACGTCTTGTTGACCTTGGCCTGCGGCATGTCCGGCGATTTGACAATCTCGGCGGCTGCAAGGGAAAGGGTCGCCAAGAGGGATGGTGAGTCGCACGGCGTCGGCTTCTGTGTCGACGGGCACGCCGCATGCTCACCTCGGATGCCCTTCTTGCCCGCCGCGATGAGCGCCATGATGGTGCCCTTGGCCACGCTGTTGGCCTTGGGATCGCTGCCGCGGAACTCGAGCGGCAGCGTCTCGATAATCTCGTCCGAATAGGCCTCGCGCTTTCTTTTCTGCGCCAGCGTCATCTTGCCCTTGGCCGCCGCTGTCGCCGGTTTGGCTGTCGAGCCTGACGCCGCTGTCGCCGCTCCCGTGGTGCCCTTCTTGAGGGCGGGCTTGAGCGCGCTCTTGAGTGGTTGCTGGGCCCCGTGGGCGGGGACGTTGATAGGCTCGGGGTAGACGCTCTCGTCGTCGGCAGTGACATAGGTCTGGTCGGCCGGGTTCATGCCTGCACCGCCGCCGCCTGTTCCGGCCGCAGAGGAACCGCCGTACATTGACAGATCGCTGCCGTGGCCGTACGGGTGCGAGCCTTGGATGGTCGATTGAAGGTGCTGCTGGGCTGCGTAGTGCTCCGCCTGTTGGGCTGTCGCACGTTCGGGGAGCCAAGACGTGGCCAGAGGTTTGGAAGCCATGTTCGTCAGCAACCGGTAGGCAAGGTCCGTGTCGCTGATGCCGGGAGGAGGATATATACTCACTGAATCTCTGCTCTGCGCGCTTGAAGCTCTCCTCGGTAGGCGCCTCTGGCCACGCGACGCACCAGGCATTCATCCTGAGACCGTACATGTACATGGCAAAGTTCTCGTTGAAGGTGCCGAGTGCATCCTGGATGTCTTCGACCTGCTCGAGGTTGGCCTGGAGGACCGAGGTCTCGTCGACCAGGTCGGCCAGGGCGCGCTCGAGGAACGAGAGGGGCGTGCTGGACGAGGGGCCGCGCGAGTGAGAGAGGGCGTTGAGCGAGCCGCGCGAGATACGCCGCAGCGGCGTGGTGGGTCTCTTTATCGTGGCCATGGCTTGTCGGTGGCGATGGTGGCGGTGGTGGCGGTGGTGGCGGTGGTGACGATGGTGACGATGGCGGTGGTCGTAGACTGCGGTGTGATGGGCGGCGGAGGGTCAAGGCAACCGTCGAGCGGGGCCGTGTTGCTCTCCGGTGTGTTGGGCCCTCGCTCGACGACGCGGCACGCGTGATTCGAGGCTGGATCGGGAGTACTGGTCCCGATACGGTTTCGAAGGTATGGGAAGCCCCGGCGAGCCTCCACGTCGGCGGGGTGGGTTGCGGATGCAAGGGCCTGCGCGCTGGCGTGGCGCTGGCAGGGCGCTGGCAGGGCGCTGGCAGGGGCGCCCAACGAGTGCAGGCCAAGGGTCCCGCCCTCTGCCGCCTTCCCGCGGCCGCCACCCACAATTCAGAAAGTCAGGCCGCCCGGGGTTAGGGCTTCTCGTCCTCGGGCTGCTGCTGCAACGGCCATTCCCGGCCTCGCCCCTCTTTCTACCTGCCTCCAACACAAGTCCCACAACCCCCCCACCGACCACTCTCTTCTATCCTCGCCCCTGTAATCGACCACCACCGAGACTTCCCTCTTCGCAACCACCAACCTACTGCTCGACGTCCACCGCCTCTTTGCTCCCTTCGTACCCGGACCATCACGACCCTCTTCCCGGACCTCGTCGCTCGATCTCACGAGGCCTCTCCTCTCCAAACTACCACGGCCACTTCGCACGCCAACGGTTCTTGCTCGCATCGCAGCTCCCCCTCTCTGAATCCCGCAGTAGGGCCTGTCCTTCGCGACAAAGTCGACGGCCATGGCCTCGAGCTCACACCGCCCGTGCGGCAAGCCGCAGCGGACTCGCCACCTGGCCCGCTCCTTCTTGCCACTGCTCTTGCTCCTGGCCACTCTGTCCTGCCTCGTCCTCTCCGCCGTCAGCATCAATGCCCAAGGCACCCCCGCTCTCTTCAAGGCCTCGACCGATCCAGATGCAAGAGGCGCACAGTTCCTCCAGCAGGTCCTTACCGCACCGCAGAAGTCCAGGCAGCACCAGCAGCACACCTCGCCCTTCGCCTCCACGTCCTCGTCGTCGGACAAGAGCGAGCTGTTCGCCTCGGAAGACATCTGCAAGCCTACCGGCAAGATCGAAGACGCATCCTGCGACTTTGAGACCGTCGAGACCATCAACAGCCAATTCTTCCGCCGCATCGACGACCTCAGGAAGACCGACTTTTTCCGCTACTACAAGGTCGACCTCTTTAAAGAGTGCCCTTACTGGAACGAAAACGGCCTCTGTATGAACCGCGCATGCAGCGTCGAGACGTCCGACGAGGTGAGTTGGCGTGGTCCCACAAAGCGAGACGGCAGCGCAGTACTATGCGAACGGCGGCTGATACTCCGCTCCTTCTCCTCCTCCCCTTCGGCGCCCCCGTTCCCTGCAGTCCGAGATCCCGGAAGAGTTCCGCTCGAAGCGGCTCAGCTCGGTCACCACTGCGGCGCCGTCCGAGGTCACGCCGGGCTCCTCGGACACGTCGTGCTCGTGCTCCTCGACCGAGTTCTGCCACCTCGACGACGAGAACTCGTCCGACGCCGTCTATGTCGACCTCCTGAAGAATCCGGAGCGCTTCACCGGCTACGCCGGGCCCAGCGCCAACCGCGTGTGGAAGTCGATCTACGAGGAGAATTGCTTCGAGGGCGTCAAGTTTGTCGAGCCGGCCCGGCCTCTGTCCTCGGGAGGCAGCGGGTTCATCGACAAGAGCCTCCTGTCTGGCTCGTCGGCGCTTGGAGGGCCGGCGGGCCTCAGCAGCCTGATGGCCTCGCTCCAAGCCCCCTCGGACAGCGGCGAGAACGAGCAATGCCTCGAGAAGCGCGTTTTCTACCGCCTCATCAGCGGGCTGCACGCCTCGATCTCGATCCACATCTGCCACGAGTTCCTTGACCAGAAGACGGGCCAGTGGTCGCCCAACCTCGAGTGCTTCATCACGCGCATCGCCGAGCACCCGGAGCGGCTGCAGAACGTCTACTTTGACTACGTGCTGCTGATGCGCGCGCTGTCGCGGCTGGGCGACTCGACCGAGGGCTTCTCGCTCGACTCGGGCGACCGGATCACCGACCGGCAGACGATTGAGCAGCTGGACCGCGTCATCCACAACGCCCGCGAGTGCCCCAGCACGTTTGACGAGGCGCAGATGTTTAGCGGCCAGACGCGCGAGTCGTTTGAGCTCAAGCAGCAGTTCCGCCAGCACTTCCGCAACGTGTCGAGCATCATGGACTGCGTCGGCTGCGACAAGTGCCGCCTGTGGGGCAAGCTCCAGGTCAACGGCATCGGCACCGCGCTCAAGCTCCTCTTCAACGGCAACGAGGCCGGCGAGCGCAAGCCGGTGCGCCTGCAGAGGAGCGAGCTCGTGTCGCTCGTCAACGCCGCGCACCGCGTCGCAGAGAGCCTGCGCGCCGTCGAGACGTTCCGGGAAATGTACCAGGAGCAGCGCAAGCTGGCCCTCGAGGCAAAGCGGCCGCAGTCGAACGCATTTCCGGACACGAAGTCGAAGAGCGAGCAGGCCAGCTCTGTCGGTGCACCTCCGTCGGCCATCGCCGGCTCGTCACCGAGCGCCAGCCCCGCACCGTCCAAGGAGGCAAAGGAGCGCACCCCTGCCGACCCGACGGCCGTCAAGCGACGCCAGAGCGGGCCGTCGTCTCCGGCCGGTAAGGGCGCCAACGCTCGGAAGGAACAGCAGCGACACCAGCAGCAGCAGCAGCACCCGGCCGACGCCACCGGAGAGGACGGCGCCTCGCCGCTCGCCAGGGCGCAGGCGTGGCTCAAGCTGGCACTCGACTGGCTGACAGTCCGGCTGGAGCGAGGTGTCGAGGGATGCAGGCGATCCGTCGACCACTGCCTCCAAGGACTCGGCATCAGGTCGACGGTGACGGCACGTGGTAACGACGCCGCTCGCCATCCCAGCAAGACGGAGCTGTGACCCAGTCGGCCCTCCTCACGCCCTCGCTTCGTTCCTGCATTCCCATGGCATCTACCACCCCTCATGGACCGTCCTCACATCCCCCTCCCGCGCATCTCCTCGTTGATTCTTCATGCTGTACTTGTATCCCCTTCTTCATCAAACTCGCATCCCCTTCTTCATCAAACTCGCATCTTGATTGCCTGCATGTGCTCTGTCGGAAAATGGTGCGATGTTTCAATGATTGACCCGCCCTTTTTGTTCAGCAGAGAGATCGACGAGGTCAGGGAAGCTGCTGATGCTGAGAAGGGGCTAACTGTGGGGCGAACTTTGACAAAGCGGACAATGGACACAGGTGGCGTGGTGGGTGCCTATGCTGCCGGTGGATACCGACTGGCGATGAGCCAGCCCATACGCTGAAGCTTCCGTGCCCTTCGAGCCGTGCCCTCAAGTTCCTTTGCCGTTTTCTCCACCTCAGCCAGGCTCGCCTTAATGTGTGCCGGTGCCGTTGCCATGTGGAGCTGGTTGAAAGCAGCCCAGTACTGCCCCCTCTGGCGGGCAAATACCTTGATGAGCAGAGGCAAGAGCTCGAGGATGAGCTTGCTTGCCTTGGCCTGCTGCCTCCCGACTTCCTCGAACTTTTCGAAGGAAGCCGGGAGCACATACACCCCCAGACCTCTGGCGGTGTACCGGAAGAAGGCCTTCCTCTCCCGTTGAAAAGTGCAAAGTGCTCCGGCTGGGCGCCTGGAAGCTCAATCCCAGCAGTGTCGTCGATGCCGTGTCGTTCGACCAGAGCTTGGCACAGCTTCGGCCGTACCCTGTAGCACCGGCTGTTGGCTTTGCCGCGGAGGGTAATGGCAAAAGATTGGTGACGATGCGTGTCGAAGCTGTCGATACCGTTCTGGCGGTTTGGCCCTTTGGGGACTCGGTTCTGGCTCGACCGCAATGCTGCCACACTTTCTGAAGAGCTCAAGTACAACATCCACTGGTGCTGTTGCAGCCCAGTAGTCTGCTGCTTGAAGCTGCCACAAAGAATGTTGGATGTCTCCTTCTTCAAGGACTTGTTGAAGCATCTTCAACAGCAAGGAGGTGGGTTCATGGTGTTGAGTGAGAGGGGACTGTTGCAGGCTCCCTTGCTACTTCCTGCCTGCTCTGCAGATGTGCACAGCCAACAGAGAACAGGCAGGTGTCGCAACAGCATGCAGCAGCAGCGCTTGAAACAAGCATCCTTGACAGCAGTCTGTGTGATAGCAGCAGAGCAAGCCGCTGTGCAAGAGAGAGCTCGACAGGACTGATGCCGGAAATAGCCTCTTGGCTTGCCTCAGTGGCGCAGCTTTAAACCCCTCACGTTCGCCCTTGCTGCCTCGCCCCTTCTCGCCCCCGCCTGCTTCGCTTGCCAAGCCAGACATACAGACGCACAGTCAAACCCCGCCCTGGCCCTACGCTTTCACCCCGCAATCCTCGTTCCTCCGTCGCGTGACATTCGCCGAGGGGGGGATCATGACGTAGTCCGTCGTCGGACCCTCTTCCCTCGTCCCTCCTCACCTCGGCCGTTGGGGCCTTTATGCCGCCCCCCGCTTGGCCAAGCCTAGCCTGGTTCCCGAGCGTGAGGTGGAGAGAAGCCTGAATGAGCCGGCGCGGCCTTGTCCTGCTTCTGCCTGATGCATCTGCTTGAAGCAGCGAGCTTGTCTACATAGCCGGGCCTGGCCTGGCCTGGGTTTGCGCGGCGAGGCTTGACTCGGGTCGAGGCGAGACGATGACGACCCCGCCTGCCGTCTTCACCCTGGCCTGGCCTACCCTGACCTACCGTGCGGTCGACGAGCTCGACCTGGCCCCGCTTTACCCGCCCCTCGCCCTGCCCCCCGGCCGCTTGCTCGGCTCTTGTGAAACGGTGGAGGGATTGCACAGCCTCCCGCTCGCTTGGCCGTCTCACTCCCCGCTTGACGGACAAGAGAGGGGTGGGGAGGAGTGCGAGGCGGAGGGCGAGATATAAGCCGTCGTCCTCGACCACTCGTCCTTCGCCACCACCACCGTCCTATCTTGAGCACCACGCCACCCTACACCACCGCAGACACACACATACACAGCTGCACCACTCCAAAGTCAATCGACGATGCGCTTCGCCACCCTCCTCCCGCTCTCGCTCCTCGTCGCCGCAACGGCAACGACGGGCGCACCCGCCACCGCCTCTTCCGACGCCGTCAACGACGAGGCGGTGCAGATCCCGCTCGCCGTGCCCTACCTGACCGAACCGCGCACCGTGACGTTTACCGTGCCCGACTCGCTCGCCCACCTCTTTGACTGGGCCAGCGACCACGCCACTTCGGCCAGGCAGGCCGCCGTGCAGGCTGCGGCGGGAGACGAGGGAGACATCTGCCCCAAGATGAAGGTCTCGTGCGTCAAGGACGGCAAGACGGTCGGCGATATCGGCAAGAAACCCTTCTGCAGGAACGGCGTTACTTGCGGACAGTGCCAGTGAGTGCCGCACCATAGCGTGGCGTACCAGCCTAGGCTGATGGGCGATCGTCCCATTCCGTATGGCGGGGCGCGGCGTACGAACAGATGGCTGATGCGCGATTGCCACACCTCCTCTCCCTTTGTCCCCTCGCCCTTGCCACCAGCCAAACCGAGAACACGGCAGAGTGCAACGCCAAGCACCTCGCCGAGTGCAAGGCCCAGTGCGAGGCCCAGGGCCCTCTGGGCGGCACCGCCCACCGCATCATGGCCGAGTGGTTCGCCTAGCCCGCCATCTGCCCTCCCCCTTCTCTCACCGACTCACGTACCCCGGTCTCTAATGTAGCATGTCCACCATCCCCAGCCCTCTTCTCTCTCTTTCTCTCTATCTCAATCGCCGGTAATCCAACTCATGACTATCCCCAGACTCTCACGCCTGCATCCGCCTAGAAGTGCGCTCTGCCCTCGAGCAGGTCGCGGTACCGGTTGGCGCGATCCGGGTCGACGTCGATGAGCTTCTCGAGCAGCTGCTTGACCTGGTCTCGTAACCGCTTCTCCTCGTCGTCGACTTGGGCGGCGGAGGCGGACGCGGCCTCGTCGTCTTGAGCCTTCTTCCGAGCATCGATGAGCAGCGTCTTGTAGTGCGCCAGCGTGTGCATGCACCCTACGGGAGGAGATTGACACAACGGATGTGAGCGCTGCGAACTGCCACGAGCAGCGCAAGATTGGAAAGATGGTACCTACACTTGCTGTCGGGTTCGAGATCCAGCAGCTCTTCTATCGCCTCGATCTCGCGTACAAGGATCGATGCGGCCGGGTCTGCAAGCGGCGCACGGATGGCAGTCACAGAGGAGGAGCGGGGAGTGTGAGAACCTTCTGCTGCGGCGTCGCTTTCGAATCTACGCCACGCAGCCCGCGACTCACCCTGCTCGACCAGCCAGCGGTGGTAGATCCATACACTCTGGTCCGCCGGGTCGGTGTACATGGCCTGCTTGACGAGTTCGTACTCTGCCCGTCGCTCAAAATTATCCGGTCGAGGGGTTGCGATGGATCAGCTGAATGGCTCGCGCTTGCTCCAACGCCAGTACTAGCAACGGCACTGGCAGGCGCCGCACGACACGCACCTTGGTCTCTTGCCTTGCGCCTCTGGTCTTCGTCCCAGCCCTTGGCGTCCCAGATGGGCGGCAGCAGCTTGGTGCGCTGGTGCCACGCGCTGAAATTGCTAATGTTGGCCTCAATCTTGCGCAGCGTGTACTGCAGCTCACTCTGGGCCAGCTCCAGCTGCGCCTGGCGCGCTTCGGCGGGCAGGTCGGAGCGGGACAATGAGGCCGGGAAGGACTCAACGTCGGCGACCGGCGGCGGCGAGGCAGTGACGGCGGCGGAGGGCAGAAACGTGGCGGCGAGCTGGGCGGTAAGGTAGCGTCGGTAGGTCCAGCCGTGGACTGAACAGAGAGAGGCGGGGATAGCGAGCACGACGTGGTCAGCTCGGTCTTTCTAGAGGTCGCAGCGCCCGCTCTGAGCTCGCACACGCACAGTTTCTCGGGTCGAGCTCGAGCATCTTGTCTACGAGCTTCATTTCGATCTTCCACTTGTTGAAGCCGCGGGCGAGCAAGTCGGGGTCCTCGGGCAGGTTTTCGAGGCACCACATGCGGTGGTTCCAGATCCAGTAGACTTTGGGGTGGGCGCGGAGGGCGTGTTCGGTGAGTTCAAGGTCGCGCTCGACGAGGAGGCGGGTGCGCTGTTGTTTGCGCTGTTTGTCTTGGTCCTCATCGGTGGCGGCGGGTGCAGCGCTCGTACCTGGCGTGGGTGCGGTGGGTGCGAGGTTGGGGTTGGGGTCGGGAGCGGACGAGGAAGCGGTTGGGCTCTCGGTGGAAGGGGGTGCATCGGTGGGCTGGCGCAGGGATGCGAATACGTCGGGCTTCTGTTGCGGTTGCTCATCTAGAGGCGCCTGAAACAGTGCGAGGAGGATGTCGCGACGATAGTTCCATGCAGTGTAGAGTTCCGGGTTGAGGGTGAGGAGGTGGGTGGTGTGTGCGAGGGCGTCTTTGGTCTTGATGCCCTGATCGCGCTGTCGTGTGCATGGGGAGGCAGCAGGATCAGAGGATAAGTCGGCGACGCAGGACGACCATAGGCACGGCAAAGGGGCGAGCGGGACGTACCAGCTGGAAGAAGCGCTGTTCGATGTCGAGGTAAGCGTGGATCTTTTGGTGCTCCTTTTCCTTGCGTGCCTGGCGTGCCTGGATGGAGGCGGGCGTCTTTTTCTCCCTCTTTACGCCGTGCATGATGTGCGAGTGCGTACGTGCGCGCGAAGGTCGGTAACGGCAGCAGAGGGAGGTGGTGACCGCGGTGAGGTTGGTGGTGATGGTGGTGGTGGTGGTCAAGAGGCGGACGAAGGAAAGAAGGGTGTTGGTTGGTGCGTGCGCCCTCTTTGGCCGTCTGCGGCGGGCGAAAAAAGAGCCCTGTGCAGGTGGAGGCAGGCAGGCAGGCTTGGCTCGGTCGTCGTTCGTCTGTGCGACCTCGACTTTGACCACCACCACCACCTCCTCCTCCTCCTCCTCCTCCGTCATCCTCGCCTCACCTCGCCTCGGACCACCGCACCATGACCGCACTCATACCCTCCTCCTGCTCAGCCTCGATATGGAGACAACTCGGCGGCGCACGCACCGCACCCCTCGCAGTCGCAGCTCACCACCCACGCCCGGCATCGTCGCGCTGCTTTGGCCAACTCGCTCAGCGACCCGCGCCATCGCCGATCAAGACGGCATCCATCCTCGCACAGCTGCGCCCCGGCATCACTGCCTTGCCATCCCCGCGCATGCTCTCCACTTCCACCATTGTCGGCATGCGCAGCTCTTTGATCGCACCCAAGCAGGCCTCGGACCCGGCATCAAGACCAACACCAACACCAACACCAACACCAACCTCGCCCCCGCCCTCACCACCCGCCGGACAACCCCTGTCCGAGGACATCGCCACGCTCCCCAACCTCCTCACCATCTCGCGCCTCGCCCTGACACCCTACATCGGCTACCTCGTGTGCACCTCGCAGTTCGCGCCCGCCTGCGCCTACCTCTTCCTCGCCGGCCTCTCGGACCTCGCCGACGGCTGGCTCGCCCGCAGGACGGGCCGCTACACCGTCTTTGGCTCCATCGCAGACCCGGCGGCCGACAAGGCCCTCATGACCACCATGGTCGTCTCGCTCGCGTGGTGCGGCATGATGCCCCTCTGGCTCGCCACCCTCATCCTCGGCCGCGACGTCGCCCTGGTCGCCTCGGCATTTGTCATCCGATACCGCACCCTCGCACCCCCAAAGACGCTCAAGAGGTACTTTAACCCCAAACTCCCCTCGGCCACCGTCACGCCCACCGCTATCAGCAAGTACAACACCTTCCTCCAGCTCCTCCTCGTCGGACTCCTCACCATCCTCCCCGTCGTCTTCCCCAGCGCAAACCCCGCCAGCAACCAGCAGCAGCAGCAGCAGCAGCAGCAGCAGCAGCAGCAGCAGCAGCAGCAGCAGCAGCAGCAGCAGCAAGGCGACGATGCACAGCCGGCGAGCACCGCTTCATCCCCCACCCTGCAGAGCTGGAAACCCGCCGTCGACACCGCCGTCAACGGCTTCATGATCGTCGTCGCAGCCACCACCGTCTGGAGCGGCCTAGGCTACCTCGGCGGCGGCGGCTCCGCAAAGGTCCTCTCCCAGAAGGTCGCGCAGAACATCAAAAAGGCCAGCGGCGGTGCGGCCGGCAGCCGTGGTCCCAAGCTGTGAATCCGAGCAGTGGCAGAGTACGACCCAACCGCACATCGATCGACGAAATGGGAAATCGAGAAACCGAATGAAAAAAACGTACCCCGTCGCGACTGCTCTGCTGCCCCGTCTGATGCCGCGCGTGCCCTGATCGAGGTTGATGTTCGAGTAGCGACAGAAGATGGATTCATAAATGGCCAGAGAGGGCGGTCGAGGTGGACGGATGCGCAGACTTGGCTGCGACGAAGACAAAGAGGGACGCGGTCGGGAAACGCGGCGTGGATCAAGCGCTCTCGGGCAGATCGGACGTCTTGTTGGCCAGCCAGGACATGCTGATGGCGGCCAGCGACCACAGCAAGAGCAGTCGGAGGCGAGGAGGAGGTGGAGGTCAGCATTAAGCATCGCCAGGGGTCTCGACGCGATCCGTCCGCCGGCACGCCGCCAGGACGCCCCCCAAAAAAAAATCGCCACTCACGTATACAGCCCGACACCGAGCGTGACATTTGCCACGGTACCACGGAACGCGATTGTGACGGTGATGTCCTCCATATTTTGGGTGCCGTAATGGTCGTTTTGGTTGAGAAGAACCAGGCTGAACCTGCTGAGCTCGGCGTTGGAGGGGTCGACGTTGTCGGAGCGGAAGAGCGAGGCGAGGACCCGGCCGGCGACGGGGTCGGGCGTGCTGCCGTCGTCGTTAGGAGCCGGCTTCTCGGTCGACGAGGTGCCGATCAGGCGGCCGTACTGTCCTCCGGCGACGCGCGGACGCACCGCCAGCGAGACGTGCGAGAGGAAGGAAAAGTCCGAGGTGCGCTTGTAGTAGCTCGACTGCTGAAACGGCGCCTGGTTGACGGGCTTGGGCGTCGTGGCGTTGACCGACTGCGCCACGGCCGCGGGCACCGCGTTGGCACGAGGGGTGATGCTGTGCGGCGTGAGGGCACGACGACGCTGCTTGTGCGTCCGCTTGGAGTCGGCGGGGGCAGGGGCGGCGGCGGCTGCGGCAGGAGCCGTGGTGCCGTTGGCGGTCGCGGTGCCGTCGGCCATGCCTAGCGTCCTCATCTTGCTGCCCGAAGGGTCCGCAAGCGCGGCAGTGGCATTGCCGTTCGTGGCATTGGGCTGCAGGTGGATCGGGGCCAGGCAGTTCTGGCAAACGTTGAGGAGGTGCGGCGTCGTGAAGCCGTCCTCGTCGACCTGGAGGCACGCGTTCCACAGGATGATGCTCTCGCTCTTGTAGCGCACCGACTTGAACAGGATCTTGGTCGACTTCTCCTTGAGGTTGGGCCACGGCTCGTTGAAGTTCTGCGTCACGGTCGTGTACTCGGTAAAGTGCACCGACTTGTCCTCGTACGCGTCGGTGAACTGGATCTGCGTGCGCGGGTCGCCAGCGTAGCCGTGGTAGGCGACGCCGTCCCAGGTGTCGTCGCGGGACATGTCAAACATGTCGAGCACCTCCTGCGGGTGGTCCCAATTGTGGTCGAGACCGAGCAGCTGGATGTCCTTGAAGCCCGCCTCGTCGAGCCGGCGGCGCGTGGCGATGCCCAGCTTGGCCAACTGCGACGGATTGGAGCGAGATGTAGGGTAGTGCGAACTGTCATAAAAGGGTTCGTTCCTTTCGAGAAAGAAAGGATGAGCGAGAAAGCAACGATGCCGTCGATGAGGAACGAGTCAGATGGGCTGCGGAGCGCGCGGTAGCATGTCGACCAAGAAAAAAAAAAACCGCGCCACGATGGAACTCACTGCACGCTGAGGGAGTAGGGCTGGATGCCCTTCTCGTCACGGATGGCGACCATGGCTTTGACGAGGTACTGGGCCATGAGATCCTCGTAGCCGTCAATGAGGTGACCGCCGAAGAGGGGCTGCGAGCCTGGGTAGTCGGCCTTCATCCAGCCGGGCTGGCTCCAGGGGGCAAAGTAGGTCTTGACGTTGGGGTTGACCTTGATGATGTCCTGCAGCGTCTGCCACAGCTTGGGCGCCTTGTCGATTGTGAAGAGCTTGAACTGCGGGTCGGTCGAGCCGTCAAACACGTCGTCGTAGCTGTAGGGCGCCAGGCCAAAGTCGCTCGCGCCGAGCGGGGAGCGGACGGCGTTGAGGCCGGCGCCACCTCGCTGGACCCACTCCGGGTCCTGAGAGAAGAGGAGGTGGAGCAGCGTCCAGTAGTCGTCCGGGTGCGCCTCCTTGAAGGCCTGCAGGACGATCGAGGCGGCGTCGGTGATGCCCGCGCCAATCTTGTCGACCTTTTGGTGGACCTGCTTGTCGAGCACCTTGATGCCGACAACGTCGGGCGTCGTGGCAGTCGAGTTGACCGACTGGGTGAGGGCTGGGCCCGGCACAAACTTGATGGCCGGGTTCGAGTACTCGACGACCTTGGAGGAATTCCAGCTGTGGGCGGGTTGGGGGCGAGGCGCCGGTACGCGTCGACGGGCGGCACTCGGAGCGTCAGCGTGTCGTCGACGTCGAGGGGCTCAAGTGGAGGAGACACTCACGTAGTGCTGAACATCTCGTCGATCTCGTACTGGGCGCGGACCGCCGAGACCGCGATGCCCAAAAGGGCGCCGAAGGCGAGCAAGGGTCGGACCATGGCAGGCAGGCGAGGCAGGGCGAGGCGGAGCGAGATAGCTGGCGCGCGACAGGCGACTAGACGTATGGGCTCTTGCGAGGGAGAGACTCCAGGAGCGAGAGAGGAGGGAAAAGTAAGGATCGTGGTCGGGGCAAGGGATAGACACGGGGGATGAAGAGGGGGCAAGAGGGAAGGGGGAAGAGGCGCGAAGATGTGGCTGGACCGTAGAGGCAAGCCCATGCCCTTCGGCCTCTTTGGCTTATATACGTGGTGCCTTTCTCTACGGCAGCGCCGCCCTGATGGCGGGAAAGGGGGCCCTCATAACGAGGGGCGATGAGAGCAGCGCTGGCAATGCGCGTGGGCGGCGAGCCCCGACGAGCCTTGCTTGCTCCTTGTCCGCCGCGCTGCAGGGGAAAGTGGCCAGAGGAAGGCCTATCCAGAGCCATCCCGGAACGAGGCCCGGGGCATTCCATTCATCGGACACGCCCTCGGACCACACCTTTCGTGTTAGGTTGATTGATGTGTAGGCTTAGCCAGGCAGCGAGCGCCTTTGGCCAAGACGTGACCGCCTAGGCCAGGCCTCACCGGCGCGTGACGGGGCCCAGGCGCAAGCCGACAGCTTAGCGCCGGCAGCCAAAAAGGAGGTGGGGGAGGAAAGCCATATCGAGCCTTGGCGCTTGCACGCACGCAACGAACGCTCGTGTACACATCAGACGTGCGCCTGTACGTTGGTTGCCTTCGGTGTCTCGAGGAGAGGCGAAGAGCCGCGGTGCCGTGCGCCGATGTCCAGCTCAAGTACTTTGCTCGACGACCGGAAGACCGGAGGCGTTGCGTAGGAGCCAGAGCAATACATACATAAATTAAGAAGGTGGCACGGAGAGAGAGAGGTTCAGGAGTGGCTACTCTTACTCGCTGGACGGCCCGAGGCCATCGACGACCCACCTCGCTAGAAGATTTAATGTGCAGCTGCCTTCCGAAGGTGGGGCGCAGATGAAAGGCTAAAATCAACAAGCTAAGCAGCTAAGGCTGCCTGCCTTCTCGTCCTTCCTGCCTGGCAAGGCCACTCAGTCTGCTGGCGACACCGTCTCTGCTGCCACTTTGTCGATCTTACCCGTGGGCGCAGCCGCGGTCATCAGGCGAGCCAACTTCGGCCAGAGGATCCCGACCGCCTATACGAGGCGCAATCGAGCACTTCTGCATGTATGTACATCGTATCCTGTACGACGTCGATGCAAGGGTTTGCGCGAGCAGCCAGAGGCTCCCTCTCGACCCACTCGCCGTCGTTCAGGGGGCACCGTGCTGGCATGGCAAAGCAACGCAACCTACGGGCCGGGAACAGCAACATGTATGGTACGAGGGTAGGACGGCACAAATACAGTGGCGGGCAGGGCCCGGGCAGGGCGCGGGCAGGACTCCTGACCCGCCAGCTTCGCCTTCGTCGGCAGGTACATAGAGGGAACCTAGGGCGGAGGGGGGGTCGTAAGGTAGCACCGGCGAAGCCAAAAGTGCGACCAGCAAAGGGGCCCGGCTGGACGGCGGGCGGGCGGATCGTGATTGTCGAGCACGGCAGCAGCATGGCGCTCGAGACGAGCTCGGCCAAAAGAGCCTGGGAACCGCACAAGGCGAGGTGCTCGGTGAGGACCTGTGCGTCGCGGTGTGGGCCAGGCCACAGGGCGCCACGAGCCTTGAGTATCGGGACGAGCGAAGCCTCTAATCGAAGGCTGACCTCGGAACGCGTCTCCCGGACCTCGGACGCCTAAACGTCAGCAGTCACGCAGGTCAGCATCGAGGTGACGGATGCACGGGGCGGAGCGGGCACTTCCGATGCCAAGCCTCGAGAGGCCTACATTTCGATGAAAACCTTCGAACAAGTCGAGGCGGGTGCTGTCGACAGACTGGAAACGCCCATTCGGCTGTCGCACCGGTGTCACCCAGCCTAGTCTTGAAGACCGTCGCGCGACAGGGCGTGCGCTTCACCGCTGGCCGGCGACGCCTTTGGCTGCCTTTGCAGTCTTGCCGGCGGCAGCGGCGCCAACCTTTGTCGACGGCTCGGGCGGCGAAGAAGAAGTCGCCGTGCCCTGTTCCTTCGCGGCGAGCCGGGCCTTCACCTTGAGTTGGAGCCGCTTCATAATCTCCTCGCGCGAGAGCGGTCCGGCAACCGTCGAAGGCTGCGGAGAGGACGTTGAAGACGCCGGTGCAGATTCCGAAGAGGTCCCCGAAGTCGTTGCCGATGCCAAGGTTCGGGCGCGGATGGCACGACCGCGTGGCTTCTTCGCTGGGCCCCCTGCGGCCACTGCTGGAGTCGGTGCGACGGCCGCAGTCTCCGCCACGGCACGGGAAGGATGCTGCTCGGCAGCCAAGCCGCCGTGCCGCTCCCGGCTAGCGTCGCGGCGAGCGCCATCACCGATAAACTCGAGCTGCCTGGGCGAATCGCTCGTCTCGGACTTTATGCTGGGCGAACCCCACAGGTTCTGCTCGTGGCCCCCCAACGAAGGCGACGGCGTGAAGCTCATTGCGCCGGCCTGCTGGTAGGATGGGCCTCGGAAGGTCGACGTCGACGCGACGGCCGCCTGCGAGCGACGAGGCAGCCCAGACACGAGATGCAGCGGCGACTCTGCCAGAGCGGGCGAGCCGCTCGGCGACCAAGACTGGGTCTGCGTCAGCTGCAGAGGGTTCGAATGTCGGCCGGGGACCGCAGGGTACGGCTGGAACGGATGCCGGCTCGATGCCAGCGCAGATCCTTCGAGCTCTGATGGGAGCAGGCCGAGCGAGTCTCGCGTCCGATTCGGACGTCGGACCCTCCGACTCGACGTCGATGCCGACTCGAGATAGTCGTCTATGGAGCGCCCCTTGCGCGCAGCATGGAGTCCAGAGGGGTACGAGAGACGGGGCGAGGCGAGGGCCTCGCTGCCAGCGGCGCTATACCAGCTTTGCCTCGGGCTGCTGGCGCCCGAGTCGAGGGAAGAGCGGTTGGACGCCGCAGACGTCGGCTCGTGGAGTGACATGGCGCTGAGGGGCGGCAGCGACGGTCGCCGGAGCGGGTCAAAGGCAAAAGGGGAGGGCGACGAGGAGCGCGGAGAGGCCGACAGGACAGTGTCGCCTGCGATGCTTGATCGCGGAGACGCCGAGCCGGCTAGAATGGATCGATAGCCCTCCTGCGAAGGTCCCGCCAGTTGCGCAGCGTAAGGCTCGTGCGGACGTCGGCGGTCGTCTCGGGGTGCTTCGTCGAAGGTGTGACTGTGCGCGGGTCGCTGCCGCGGCGCGCTCCGCCAGTCGGAGCGGTTGCGATCGCTTGCCCAGACTTGGCCAGGAGGCGGCGGCGGTCGCGGATCGACCATCTTCTCGTCGCTGCAAGTTGGTTCGTGCCGGTGCTGTCGCAGTGCTGGTGGGTGCGGGTGCTGATGACGGTGCTGGTGCTGGTGCTGATACTGGCTGTGCTGGATGTAGGCTTCGCGGAAGGCGCCGACTCGTGAATCTCTGTCCTCCTCTTGCCTCAAGGCGTCGACAATCATTCGGGCGACTGCCGGGTCGATCCGCTGAGCCATTGCAGAGGACGCGGTCGTCGCGGGACCGTAGCGGAAGGAGAGGTGCGCCTGGTAGTGCTGTGCGACGCTCCTCACGTCGTCGATGCCGAGTCTTAAGGACGTGGCAACTCGACGCAGAGTGCCTTCGCGATCCTCGGACGGCGGTGCCGCGACGTCCTGGTTGGGCGTCGAGGCCGAAGAAGAGATGCTTAGGCTGGGCGGGTCGCGCGGATACCGGTCGCCGTCGAGCGGAAGTCCGTCGGCCTCGAGGCGCGGCGATGTTGTTGGCGAGGCGGTTAGGCTTGGAAGTCCAAAGTACGAGCCATCGCCGGCGGAGGGGTATGGTTGCGAAGCTTCCGGGCGACGATCCGCGAGCCCTTTTGCAACATCCACGTCCATGTCATGCGCCGCAAGAGGGGCGCCTCTGGGTGGCCCTTCGTGGTGTGGGTCGCTGGGATGGAGGCCACGCTGCGGCAGAGGGAGGGAAGGGTATGCCGCATCGGGGGGCAGTGGTGGCACTCCCGGTGAGGGGAATAGGAAGCCAGAAGTCTGGTGGGTCGGCGGCGGACCAGGCAATGTGGGGCCGGCGAGGGAGCGGAGGGCGGCGCGGGCGACCTCTTCTTTCGAAGAGACAGCCTGGCCGGCCCGGACCTGACCATAGGTGCCCGCCATTGGGTAGTCTGTGGCGCTAGGCAGCATGCTGTTCAGCGAAGGCAGGGTGCGCTGCGCTTGGTTCGAGGTCGACAGTCGTGTGGGTGCCGAGGCAAGCCCAGCGTGTCGGCAGCAAAGCGATCAATCGAACGATGGGGAGCGGCGGGTGTTGAGCATCCGAGCAGGAGGGTGTGGGGCAGCTGGATGGCCACACGGCAAACGTGCGTGTTCGTATGTAGCGTTTGCAAGGCGGATGACACCGAGGTGGGTCGGTGGTCGGCCCTTCCTTGTATTGAGCGGTGAGGGTGGGTCCGAATCTAGCTGGTTAGAGCAGCGAGTCGATTGCACAGGGTGGCGGCCTGATCTGGCGTGCGATAGGCGGTTGTCGGAGCGATGATGATGCGGCGGCGGCGGCGGCGGCGATAGCGATCGGCTAGCGACGAGCTGTAGCGACGGGATTAGAGCAGAGCGATGGCCGGTGCAGAGGCAGAGTCGAAGATGCAAAGACGAAGGGCGGACGTTGCGAGGATGCGAGAGACTGGCGTAGTACAGAGCTGCAGAGGGACGACACGGCAAGAGGCACTGAATCACCGGAAGCGACGCTGGTGATGAGGGGGCGGCGGGATGGTGGTGGTGGTGGTGGTGGTATTGGTGGTGGTGGTAGGCAGGCAGGTAGGCTGCGAGAAGAGGGCCGATCCCGGTTTCGGAGATAGGGAGGGACAAGACGGCACGCTCGACAGCAGCGTCGACGACAACGACGACGGCGGCGGCGGGAAGAAGCCGAGCGAGGATGCGCGATGGAAGCCAAGAAGCGCTGTCCGGCGACTACCGATGCCCAACGGAGGAGGGGTGCAGCCAGCAGGCAAGCAAGCTAAGCAGCCAAGCCCAGCCCCGCCCTGGTGTTCCTGGATGACGGGCCAAGCAAGCAAGCAAACGACAGTCGACAGCAGCTGCGACAGAAGGGGTGGGGGAGGGGACGAGGAGAGGAGGGGAGATCAGAGGCTAGGTCGAGGGCCGGGTAGGCCAAGACAGCGTGGTCTCGGCGCCGAGGCAGGTCGGCCTGCCGCCTACCTGTCGCTGCTGCCGGGCCTGCAGCATGCTGCTGCCACTTCGTGCGTCGGGTAAAAGGCCACCAGGCAGGCCAGTCTCACACAGCCACCCCAGCAGAGGGCGGGGCGACGACCCTGACCACGCCCGGCGTCGACCGCAACGACGCCGACGTCGACGTTTCGGGGCTGGGCCGAAGAAGCAAAGCAAGCTACGGCAGCAAGGCGAGCATACACGTAGCAAGCAGCAAGCAGCAAGCCAGCAAGCCAGCAAGCAGCGCATCGCGCGCCAAGAACCAGCAGCCAGGCGGGCGGGTCGACAGCCAACCCCCCGCAGACCGGCAGCAGCGAGCTCAAAAAATAAGTTCTGCCTGGCGAGAAGCCGCTCGCCCTGCCTTGCTTGGCTCGACGCATGGTGAAGCTGCGTCGGAGCGCAAAAGCAGGCGGGCCGGCAGGGCAGGACAGGCGCACAAGAGGCGCGACGACGACGCTACGGTACCACCCTCAAGGGCCCGCCGAGCCCGTAGGCGTGTGTGTGGCCGGCCTGATCGCCTGCTGCTTCGATTCGCGAGAGCTCGTCGCCTTGTCCGACCCAAGCGCAAACTCTGGGGGGATCTCACCATGCTTCTCTCTTGGATGATCTTGGCCGGGCACCGTTGCAACGCGATGCTTCCATCGAGCTGACTCTGCGGCAGAATCGCGGCCACTTCTTGGCGCTGCTGGCCCGCCGTGAGTGCCTGTGTGGCACTAGGCCTCAGAGGGCCTGCAGTACAGGTCGCGCAGTTGCTCGGCCCGGGTGTCTGTTCCGGCGGTTGGGTCGCCACTCTCCGCGGAACAGGTGACGCTCGCCCGCCCGTCCGTACGCCCGTAGGGCGCGTACCTCCATACGCGGCGTGTCGCTCGCTTGCTTGTTTCCTTCCTCGGCGGAAGGCAAGCTAGCGGTGGAGTCATGGTCGACCCAAAATAGCAGGCAGTTGGCCCGGGGACAGGAATAGACGCGGCAGCCCGTCAGCGGCGGCGGCGGCGGCGGCGGCGCTACCCGTGACGGCAGAGCGTCACATGCTGAGCAACGCTATCCATTACGACGATGGAAAGGCTTCCCGGTCATTACCCGCATCGAGCCATCGACGACGACGACGACGACGGCCTAGCTTACCCCTTGCCATACCCACCCCGAGTCGTCCGATCGCGATGGCTGGCACTCCCATGACACGCCAGGCAGTACGTACAGGACAGCAAATTCTTGGTTGCGGCTGACGGCCGAGGGAGGGGCCGGAGTGGTTTCCAAACATAGCCTGCGAGCAGCAGCCCAAAGCGAGTCACTGCGGGAGGGGCCCATGCCATGGCATGGCTAATGGCAGCAGGAGGCGACGCTGCTTTTGGAGGCTTAGCTTGGTGACGGAGGGTCTGCCTGGTCCCCCATGAAGCCGCCAAGAACAAAGACGTCGGCAGCGTGCATGTCTGGCGGCCGACTGTCTGCAACTCGCCGATTCGGGCAGCCCTCGAAAAGCAGGGACCGGAGCGGGGAAAAAGGCAGGCAGGCAGGGAAGCTAGGCAAAGCAAAGCAGCAGCGAAGGCAACGGCCGCGGGGGCAGCGGAGCGACTGGGCGGGTTGACCGAGGGTGGCCGCCGCCGCTGTGTCTGTGGAATGCGGGCAGCAAGGGCAACTCGAGGCCATCGGCAGAATCATCGAGCGGCCAAATCTGTACCACCTCGCCCGCCGTTCGGACTTTCGGCCCGGAGCTCACGCACCGACGACGTCTGTGAACCCCCCTCCCCCTCACCCTGCTGTCGAGCAAAGCTTTCCATCTTTGCCGCCACCAGAGCAAAAGCAAGCAGAATGCGTGCAGCCTGGACAAAGGACCGGGATCCGCCCTTCCTCGGGCATTGTCGCTCGTCGCTGCTGCAAAGGCCGGGAAGGGTGCCGAGCCTCCCGAAAGAGATCCGGCGCTACATGGCACTGCCTGCCTCGAAATAGGGCCGTCGACAGCGCGGGCTCAAGGGGATTCCTTTTGACCGGTGCTAGGTACTGGTGTGCCAGGGGATATGACCGATGGCCTTGCTGCTTGCTTCTTTCTTGCGCCAATTGGCACTACTCCGAGTTTCCAAGCCCCGCGCCAGGTTTCGAGAATGCGAGCGAGCAGAGAGAGAAAGAGGCGGCGGCAGTCCCCCGAAGGCCCATGAACGACTTGGCTGGGACCCGGAACGGAAGGCGGCCGCCGCAGAAGATGCTGCAGTGGCTGCTTTGAGCTCTACGCTGCCTGCATGGAAGCGGCGCTCACAGGTCTGCCCTGCTGGCCTGGCCGGCACCATTGGTGTTCTTGGCGAGGGCTTCTGCGGCCACGGCGGCGATTCTGACGATCGGTGCCGTCGTGAAGGGCGCGCAGGTCTGGCCAGGATGACTCGGTGCTGGTCCGACCTTGCGCAGGATGGCGGAGGGGCTGCCGAAAGATGCGTCGGCGCGAGGGCGTCGAACCGTATCGGTCAGTGCTTTGCTCGGCGAGTATCGATCGACAGGCGGGTGCAAGACGTCGAACGATGAGTCGTGGTCGGTTCTGCCGACGGTTTACCCGCCGGGCTGCTACCGTATGGGGGGCAGGCCTGACATCGACGCAAGGAAAGGGCGTGGATCACGAAGAGGTGACGTCGGGAGATGGCCTGCTCAGCATGTTTTGTGGCCGTTGCGAGCACCTCTCTCGCACGAGGGTATCGGCAGCAAAGACGACCTGCCGCCCACCGCTGACTGGCCGATGGAGGCCACAGACTTTCGCTCGAACCATCTGCTGGACGTCGGCGAACCTCGATCGCCGTTTGACCTTGGCAGTCAAGCAGTACAGCGCCTGCCTCCGTTGCCTCTGTCGCTTATTGTCAGCGCGTGGCAAGCCGGCAAAGTACGCGACAATGTTCTGTTCGGATCAGACCGGTTGGGGCCTTGACGTTTGATGTCGACACATGGCCAGGGGCGAGGCCCTGCATCGGAAAGAAGATCTATCTGCCTCGGTGTTTGCCTCGTCTCTGTCGTGTGGCGATGCTGGCGTATGGCTGCGGGGCGGGTACCGCCGAATTCAGTGCTGTTGACTTGAGAAAGCGGTGGCAGCCCTTCGAAGGACGGGCGACCGTACAAGCCTGTGAGTAAAGCTTAGCATCTTCGAGGTCGAGGTCGAGGTCGAGGTCGAGGTCGAGGTCGGGGTCGAGGCGGGTCGAGGCCGAAGAGGTCGGAAGGGGGCCGATGATGGCCTGACCAGCAGGCCGGCATGTTCCCGATGCGGTCAGGTGGTGGCAGCAGCGACGTCTGCCTGATCGGCGCGACGAGGCGAGGCGTGGGCGTGGCCTCGGGGCTGGGCTTTGGTTGGCCGGCTGGCCTGGGCGCGTGTGGAGGGAGAGAGGGGTGCAGGCGTGGCCAGGCGTGGCCAGGCGTGGCCTGTGGGCCTCTGCGAAGGCTTCGCGTCGCCGTCTGCCACAGAGGTCGGGCGGTCGGTCGGTCCCTCCGCCCTTTTGTCATCGCGGCTTGGCTGTCGTCCAGTCGCTTGTCTTCTCACCATTCGCCCAGCCTCCTGCCTCCTGCCTCCTCTCCTCCATCTTCTTCGTCGTCATCTCCTTCTCCTTTTTCTTTGCCCCACCGCGCCGCTTGGGCATCGCTCTCTTTCCAACTGTCCAGAGTTGGCCCGAGCTCGTCTCCTCACGTTCGACCTCGTGCAGCCCATCGCTTACCGCCGATATCCACCCTAGCCTGCTCATCTCTCTGACGGCACCGTATACCCCATCTACAGTACCAAACACAGTCGCACAGTCGCATTGTCGCACACCCGCTTCCTCTGCCCGTTTCCTTCTCTGCTCTTGCTACGTGCATCGCCCCATCCTCGGTTCCAACCGCCCCGCAAACGATGAGCTCACAGTCTCAAACCCCCAGCCTGGACCCACAACGAGCAGCGGCCATGTTCGACGACGAGCCTGCCCTCGATGAAAAGGCCAGGCCGCCCACGCTGCTCCAGCAGCTCCTCGACGCCCGGCCCACCACGCTGCGCTACTCGATCGCCTGCGCGTCGTCCTACTCGGGCACCTACCATCCCAACAACATCCTCTACAATCGTCCGCATGACATGTCATCGCGATGGTCCGGCTCATCGCAGGCGACCCAGGCCGCGGCCGCTGCTCAGGGCGCCAATGCCGCTCGGACCGCCGCACCCGCCGCATCCAGCACCACCACCTCGTCCTCTTCGCCGCGCCGCGCTCCCGCTGCATCATCGCCGGCGGCAGGACCCATCATCGCTACGCCATCCCAGTCCGCCTCGTCGAAACAGTACATCATCCTCAGGCTCGACAAGCCCTGCGTCGTCCGCTCCATCACCTTTGGCAAGTACCACAAGCCGCACCCCTGCAACCTGCGCGACTTCAAAATCTACGGATCTCTCAGCCTCGACAGCCTCCTCCCCGCCCCGGCCTCCAAGGTCGGCACCCGCGCCGCGCCCGCGGCCAAGAGGCTCATACGCGGCGGTCTGCGCAACGACGCCGCACCTGAGAAGTTCGAGCTCCGCTGGCTCGAGGATGTCAGCGCAGGCTCTGGCTCCGGCGCGGGCGATGCGTCGGCTCACCTCGGACCGGGCCAGGGAGAGCTCGACCGGCGCGGCCTGTCGCTCGTCGTCGCCAACAGCGGCAACGTCATCCCCTTTGCGCTGCGGTACATCAAAATCGTCCCGCTGGCGGCCCACACGCCCAATTACAACTTCTCCGTGTGGCACGTCGCCCTCGCCGGCGTCAGCAACGACGCGTTGGTCTCCAGGGTCCTGTCCGAGTACAGCGAGGTGAGTCTGCGTCCCTCCCCCGCCCCCTCTCGCAACGTAGCAACGCCTTCTAGACCCCTGCTGATCATGCCTTGCCCCTCTGATCCTCGGCCCTCAACCGGGACCAGTACCGAGAGTCGGCGACGATCCGGCTGATGCTCAAGCATCTTCGCGAGCAGGGCCATCATACGGCGTTTGCGGCCCTGCTGCAGTCCTCTCGCCTGCAGGGCGGTGCAGTTGGCGGGGGCGGCGGCGAACTGGCGCCGACACACCCGGCCAAGCGGCCTTTTGAGCATCCCATCGTGACCCGCCTCTTCGACTCGCTGGTCCGGCGCGGCTCCTGGGACGAGGTCGAAGGTTGCTTGGACAAGGCGGCCTACGGCGACCCCTCTACGTCCAACGCCCAGTTCGGCTCGACGTCGATCCAGAGCCTTGCCGGCAGCGCCAGCTGGGAGTCGGCCAACGGGCAGTCGATGTTCTCGGCCTACATCGCCAAGCAGATGCCCCGGGCCGACTGGCAACGGATCCTGCCCACGGACCCGGCAGCTGCCGCCCAGCAGCAACACCAGCAGGAGCCGCGGCCGAGCGCGCCGTCCGGACGGGGCGGTCACTCGATGGTGTTTGACTCGGAAAAGGGCATCGCCTACCTCTTTGGCGGCTGGGACGGCTTTCAGGACCTGTGCGACCTCTGGGCCTTCCACGTCCACGAGAATCGCTGGAGGCTTATCTCGCCCGACGTCCGGCTGCAGGGCGGTCCGGGCCCTCGCAGCTGCCACAAGATGTGCCTGGACGAGAAGAGCGGCAGCATCTACGTTCTCGGTCGCTACATCGACTATGAGAGCAGCGGGGCGAGCCGGCAGCGCGAAGGCCCCTTTCCCGGTTCTCCGTCCGCCACCATCGCTGCGGCCGCTGCCGCCGCCTCTGCTGCCCGGTCGACGCGGGCCTCGTTCCTGCCGCCGGTCCCGCCATCGCGCACTCCGCCGACGGGCGATGTGCCCATGGGCCAGCCCGACGCCGGCTCCCAGTCCGGCGAGGGCGACAGGACGACGACTGCCGGGAGCGGCTCTGGCACTGGCGAAAACGGCGGCAGCGGTCGCCATCGCCGCCTCGACCAGCTCGGTGCTGATCCTGAAGGCCAGTCCCGCAGCAGCACACCGGCATCGACGAGCGGTCCGCAGTCGCCGGGCAGGCCACCGCGGAACCCTGCACCAGGCAGGGCGTCGTCGCGCAACCCAAACGGGCCCGCCTCGCCGCCAGGCAGGGAGCCGGACTTTTTCCGCTTCTCGACCAAGTGGGAGCGCTGGGAGAAGCTGAGCTCCGACACGTACGCGGACGGCGGGCCCAAGCTCGTCTACGACCACGGCCTCGTCGTCGACTCGCAGAGCCAGATCCTGTACGTGTTTGGCGGCCGCATCGCGGACCCGGACCCGAACCGCTTCGAGTTCAGCGGCATGTGGCGCTACGACATCATCCAGCGCGTGTGGACCTTTCTCTTTGACGACACCACCCAGTCGGGCTGCAAGATTGTCAGCCGGTCGGGCCACAGCATGCTGCTCGACCCGGGCAAGCCGGGCACGTCTGGCATGTCGGCGTCGCAGAGCCGTCAGATCTGGATCCTCGGCGGCCACCGCGGCGCGTCGGCGACCAACCTGGCCGACATGTGGACGTACAACATCGCCACGGGCGCCGTCCGCGAGATCTCGACCAACACGGGCCAGGACGGGCCCGAGTCGGGCTTTACCCAGCGCGCCACAATCGATCCGGCGGCGCGCGAGATCAGCCTGTTTGTCGGCCTGATCGGCGGTCGCGGCGACAAGAAGAAGACGAGCGCGTTCTGGATCTATAACATCACCTGGGGCACCTGGAAACAGGTCTACCGCTACGAGGCGGGCTACGAGGCGGGCGACGAGGCCGCCCGCACGCTCGAACTCGGCGCGGCAAAGGGCGCCGGCTCCGGCGACGTCGAGCAGCGGACGGGCGATCGATTCGGCGAGCAGCGCAGCCACGAGGCGGACTACGACGGCGAGGAGCCTCCCGAGTCTGGGCCGCTACAGGCGCTGCCCGTGTACGACGACGACGACGCCGATGTCGAGGACGACGAGATGGCCATCGAGGGCCCCGCCGACAGCTGGATGCCGTACAGCCTGCCGTCGTCGTCGTCGTCGTCTGCTGCCGCGCCGATGCCGCAACTTCTTGCCACGACCTCGTCCGGCAGCCAGACGCCGACGTCGCCGTCGGTCGCCGCTGCCGCTGCCGGCCACCGACAGTCGGCCAGGGGTGCCGGCCACGAGACCGAGCCGCGACCTCGGTACGCGGCGCAGCTGGTGTTTGACGACCGCCGCAAGGTCTTTTACCTGCACGGCGGCAACCCCGAAGACGCCGACAACCGCCAGCTGCGGCTCGACGACATGTGGCGGCTGACGCTGATGCGGCCCACGCCGGGCGAGGTGCTGCGCCGAGCCAAGTTCCGCGTGCGCCAGCAGCGCTTCCTCGAAATGACGCGGTCCATTGCGGCGGCGCAGGCGGCCGACACGAGCGGCGGTGGTGGGGCTGATCCGACGGCGTTGGGCTTCGAGGCGCTCATCTACCTGCAGACCGAGGTGGGTGCGGTGGTGGACCACTCCAACGAGGCCGAGTCGCAGCTCTTCCGCAGGCTGATGACGCGGCTGCTCAGCGCCAAGGCCGGGGGAGGGACCGCGGCGACGTCCATGGCCGACGTCGACGTCGAGACGGGCGATGTGGAAATCGAGGCCGACCGAACGCTGACCGGCGATGCGGCGCAGCACGACGTCGATCCTGCCACCGGCGTCGGTAGCGCGGGTGGCGCTGCTGATGCGGCTCCGCCGCGGACAGATCGGCTGGCCTCGATGGGCGCCAAGCGCGGCCGGGACGAAGTCGAGACCGAGGATGAGGAGGCTGCGCGATCCCCCATTTCCCTCTACGCCAGCAGCGCCGGGGGCGACGGAGACTCGGAGATGCTCTCGATATCCCAAGTCCTTCCCGGCGGCGGCGGCGGCAGCAGCAGCAGCAGCGGTGGTGCTGGTGGCGGTACTGGCGGCCGGGCCAGGAAGACGATGCACGGAGGTCGAGGCGGGTCCGCCAACGACGAGGCGGCCACGGTCCGCGTCGCCGAGTCCGAGGGGACGCCCACCGGCCTCTACGCCGAACGCACCCACCTCTTCCGCTCCCTCCTCGAGTACTTCAACCCGGAACTCACCCAGCCCAGGGCAGAGATCGGGCACTGCATCGAGGCGGCGCTCGGCGCGTAGTCGGAGCGAGCGGTCGCGGGCGTTCATCAGCAGGTGGTAGTTAGTCGTCGAATGATAGCGCGGCGCCAGATAGCCCGGTGCAGCGAGAGACGCCAGCGCCTTCACTGCCTTGAGCGCCCATCCGCAATCCACTCGTGAGCAGGCTGACCAGGCCGGCCCAGTTTGCGAGCGATAACGAGCGGCCGCCAGCGCGGTGCGTTCCTCACCTCGACCAAGGTCTGGCAGAAGGCGAACGGAATCCAGCTTGAAAATGGCAAGAAAAAAAAAGAGAGGGCCGGAGAAAAACTGGCCAAAAAAGAAATCTCCCAACGTGGGGCTCGAACCCACGACATTCAGATTTGTTACTGCGATCGATCGCAGAGGCCCTGGATAAGAGTCTGACGCTCTACCGACTGAGCTAGCCGGGAAGGAGTTGTGTGAGACGCTCAAAGTTGCGTACAGATATTGCGTAAAATCAGCGATGGGCAGATCGCCTCCACTTGGTGGCCTCGAACCGGCGCCGTGGCCCTCTCTGACCGCTGGCGATCCGCTTCTTCCCTCCCACACCCACCATTGCCTGCTGGCACGCGTCGAAACACACGCACACACCCACCCACCCACCTACACGCACCCGCGCCAAGGCACTTCAACGACCCAAGGGCTTCCGCACCGCAGCCGTCCAGCATAGCATGGCTTCGTCAAGCACACGGTACGAGCGCGTGCCTGCGTCCGCCGACGAGGGCGGGCGGAGGCGATCTCACTCCAGCGGCGGCGGCGGCGGCGGCGGCGGTGGTCGGGCCGATTCGATGGTGACCAAGTTCGGACGCTACTCGTACCTGGCGACGGCCGGCTTCATCGCCTTCTGCTTTGCGTGCACCATCCTTCCCCTCTCTTCGGTGTTCGTGGGGCTGGGCTGGATGACCAGGCCGGGCCTCCTGCCAAAGCAGCAGATCGACAAGACGATGGACGACAAGCGCTGCCTCGCCGAGTTTCCCGCCCTCTACCCGCAGCTCGAGGACAACGTCAAGGCATGGAAGCTCAAGGGCGGCATCGGCAAGGCGGACGTGGACAAGGCGCACGAGCAGGCCAACCGCAACTGGGGACTCGCAAGGGTGAGTGAGCGGCGGCGACGGAGAGCCCGCAGCGGCACCGTCTTTGGTGCCTCAGCTCCTCGACTGACAGTCGCGCTCCCTCTTCGTGGCTCCTCGCCCCCGCCATCCCGCCGCAGGTCGTCGTCAAGAACGGCCGTGTCTATATCCGAGAGGTCAAGGAGGGCAACGAGTCGAGGATGTCGGCGCTGCTCCACATTCTGCACACGGCCGTCACCACCGATCCGTCGGCGTCGACGAGGGGAAGCAGGAAGCCGCTGCCCGACGTCGACCTCGTCATTTCGACGGCGGACAAGGACGGCAACTCGAGCCCCGCCGGCTGGGTGATTGACAAGCGCGTCGACGAGGATCCCAGCATCGGCCGGTGGCTCTTCCCGGACTTTGGGTTCGCCGGCTGGCCCGAGGCGGGCATCGCGTCGTACGAAGAGTTTACCAGGCTCATCCAGAAAGAGGAGCGCGAGTACCCCTGGGCTAACAAGGACGACCGCGCCTTTTGGCGCGGCCTGGCCAACTGGTACCCGGTGCGCAAGGACCTGTTGAGCAAGACGTCGCTCGCCCTCGACCCGGGCAGGGCGTCGTGGGCCGATGTGCGCGAGACGAGCTTCCACGACAAGGGCGATCAGTTTGCGCCCATTGTGCCGATGCACGAGCACTGCCGCCGCAAGTACCTGATCCAGAGCGAGGGCAACAGCTACAGCGGGTGAGGGTCGGCCGTCGTCGAAGCGGGCACAGGTCCATGCGAGAGGAGGAGAAGAGGGTGACCGCACGCTGACCGTTCTGCCGCCTCCACAACCGCCACCGCTCCCCCTCGCAGACGCTTCAAGTACCTGCTGGCGTGCAACTCGGTGTCGATCGCGCACCCGCTCGAGTGGACGCAGCACTTCCACCCGGCGCTCAACTCCAACAACCAGAGCCGGCAGCAAAACTTTGTCGAGCTGTCCGGACCGCTGTTTGAGGGGCTCGAGGACGAGGTCAAGAGGCTCCAGACGCTGGACCGCGGCGGCGCGGCGAGGGCGGGCGGCAACAGCCCGCGCAGGATCGCAGAGAATGCGCAGCGGACGCTAAAGGAGCGTGAGTGTCGCGGGGCCAGTGTCGCCACGTGGCCAAAGCTTAAACGCTGTGGATATCGCTGTCGGGGGTCTTTGAATGCTGACTGGCGCTGCTCCTCCTTCCACATGGCACGCGGGCGATACGATGCAGGCTACCTGACGCCGGCGGCGACCATGTGCTATACGCGCGCTGCGCTGCGGGCATACGCGTCGGTGCTGGACGTGGCGACGTGGGGGCAGGATGGCGTGGATCTCGAGACGGGCCCGCATCCGCTCGAGGGCGGCGGTGTGGTGGCGTCCGGGGGCAAGGGCAAGGACCTGGCCAAGCTGGGCGCCAAGGGCGACATCGAGTACGGCGTCTGGCGGCTGTCTGGGTCGATTGACTGGCCGCCCCGCGCGACGCCGCCCTAGGGAGTCAGCCCGCCGCCATGGCCGAGTCTGCCCCACCTGCCTGCCTGCCGGCCCGCCAAGCTCAACTGGACAGTACGTATGATCAGCTGCCTTGGTCAAGAACCCCTTTCGCCTCTGCTGCGCCACGATAGAGATAGAATCACGATGAATCGCCGTAAAGTCTCGCGGTCGACGAGCGAAAAAGGTGGCGTTACCCGCACGCACGCGCGCACTCGTGGGCCAGCAGGCAGGCAGGCGATTTGTGTGTGTCTCGGCAGGGCGGGCAGGGCTGGCAGGGCAGGCTGCACCCCGCGTCGGGGCTTTTTTGGACGGCGCCTGAATCAATCCGCTCGAAGAAAGCAGGCAGGGCGGACCCTCAGGCAGGCGAGCTAGCCAAGCCAAGCCAAGCAGAGGCCCCCCCCGGCTCTGCCTCGACCCTCGCCCCTTTCCCCCCCCCACCCCCCCCCCCCCCCCTCCCAGCTTTCATTTCCCCCCTCGGCGCTTCCTCACCACCACCACCACCTCCTTCAATCAAGGGACCACCTCGAGAGCCCGCTTCTGTCTTCTCTCCGCCCATCAACATCGCCGACCTCACCATCACCGGCTGCCGCGAACCACACTCAAGGCGCCCCTCTTAGACCCTCCTCGCCCTCCCAGAACCCTCCGGTCTCCACACCGACACCACTTACACCCTCCACGAGCACCAACGCCACCATGTCGAGCACCGACCCGCTCGAGACCGCCATCCTCCAGGGCGTCGATGCGCCCGACCGCGCCGCAGACGCAGACGATCGCGGTCCGCAGGCGCGCGCCGCATACAATCACGAGCGACACTCTTCCCCTCCCAACACCGACGACGAGCTCGGCTCCGACCTCCCCTCCGACGACGACGACGACGACGCGGGGGGACCAGGTGGCCGTCCGTCGCGCACCGAGCCGTCGCGCCTCTCTTCCCAGATCGGCGCGGCCAACACGGGCCCAAAGGGCGTCATCAACGACCACAAGATGCAGGCACTCCAGGCCCGGGCGGAGCGCGCCGAGCGAGTGCACCAGACCAACGCCCAGATGGAAAAGATGAGCTTCCAGACAGAGACGTGGGACCAGCAGCAGGCGAGGGAGCGCAGCGAGGCCAAACTGCGCCGGCAGCGCGAAAACGCCGATAGCGACGACGATGGAGCCGAGGGCGAGGGCGCCGGCGTCAGCGCAGCCGCCATCGCCGACCTCCGTGCAAAGGAGAAGAGGAGGGAGCAGAGGATAGCCGAACTCAAGAACCAGGGCAGGCAGAGCAAACGCTTCTCGTTCCAGACGGCGCTCGGAGGCGGCGGCGTGGGTGGCCAGGCGCAGGCGGGGGCGGGGCCGGGAGCCGGGTCGGATCGCTGGTTCGGGCACCTGCGGGAGGTCGACGAGAGGGGCTACGTGGCGGCCATCGACAAAGAGGACCGCACCACGCCCGTCGTCATCCACATCTACTCGCGCGGCGTCGAGGCCTGCGCCGTCCTTACCAGCGCCCTCTCGTCGCTCGCGCGCACCTACCCGCGCACCAAGTTCCTTCAGGTGCAGGCGTCGGCCATCGGCTTCGGCGGCGCCCGACCGCGTCACGATGACGGGACGATTGACGAAGACGACGAGGAAGACGAGGGAGGCGACGCGAGGGCGAGGCAGGATAGGGCGGCGGATGTGCTCCCCACGCTCCTCGTCTACCGCGGCGGCGAGCTGGTGGCCAATCTGGTCCGCGTCGACCTCGAAGAGGCGTGGCGTGGCGGCACGGAGCCGGCGATTCGCGACCTGCTCTCCGGGTGAGTCCCTTGCTCCTCTGTCCCCTTTGCCGACTCATGCTTGTCCCGACCTCGAGGATGTTGAGGCTGACATGCATACACCGCTCCCCCGCTCCCCTCCCTCCTCTGCGCTCGACAGGTATGACGCCCTAGTCACTGCCGACGGGCGACCGGGTCGACGAAACGCATACGGATCCAGCGACGACGAGTCGGACAGCTAGACTGCCGCGCCGCGCCGCGGCTTACCATACCATACCATGCCATGCCACACCATACCATACACGGCTCCTCTCTGCGTCCAGCTCCCTTGAGCGTCTTTGAGCAGCCAGCCTTCCTCCTTTCCCCCGGACTCGCCACGCCGTGCATACGATCCTGTCTGTCGCCAGAGACCGACCGCACGGCCGCTCCTTCCATCTCTCCGAGCACCGTCGCGATCTCGACGCGTTTCCTCGTCGATGCTATGCCAGGCTACCGCCTCTCCTACTCAGACGACGCAATCAGGGAGAACACGAGACTCGGTTGATTTTTCAAGGTCGAGCTTGGAAGCATCTACGACAATCTACAGGCACCACGACGACGGGGGCGGGGACACGAAGGCGAGACCAGGGTGGCTGGCCGCGCGGGTGCAGGCGCGACCGGGGCGATGCAGGGGGTTCAGGCCGAAGAAGAAGAAGCCGTGGTCTGCTGGTTGGCCGCGACCCACCTGCGGGCATTCTCAAACATCCTGAACCAGGGGCCCTTGCCCTTCCACGTGCCGGACGAGGGAGGGGCCCAGCTCATCGACGACAGCGCCACGCCGCGTTCCGGGTGCGGCATGAGGCTGAGCACGCGCCCGCCGAGGGCCGAGAGCGCCGTGACGCCGTCCGGCGAGCCGTTGGGGTTGAGCGGGTAGCGCTGGTCGACGTAGCGCATCGCCACCATACCCTGCTGCCGGCACGCGGCCAGGTCCGAGTCGGAGCGGAACGATGCCCGTCCCTCGCCGTGCGCGATAATCGCAGGCAGCACGCTGCCCGCCATGTCGCGCAAAAAGATGTTGGTGCTCGCCTCGGCCGTGATCTCGACGGTCGACAGGCGGCCCTCGAACCGCCCGCTCTCGTTGGTCTTGAACAGCGGCCAGCTCTCGGTGCCCGGGATGAGGCCGGCGCGCGCCAGCTGGCTCAGCAGCTGGCAGCCGTTGCACACGCCCAGCGCAAACGTGTCGGCCCGCTGGAAAAAGGCCTCAAACTCGCCGCGCACCGTCGGGTTGAGCAGGATCGAGTTGGCCCAGCCGCTGGCGGCGCCGAGCACGTCGCCAAACGAGAAGCCGCCGCACGCGGCCAGGCCGACAAACGACGACAGCGACACCTGGCCCGAGACGAGGTCCGACATGTGCACGTCGACGGCGCAGAAGCCGGCGCGCGTGAAGGCCCACGCCATCTCAATCTGGCCGTTGACGCCCTGCTCGCGCAGGATGGCCACCTTGGGCCGGCCCTCGAGCGGCGCCGTGGCGAGCGGTCCCAGGACGTCTTCGGCGGGCGAGTAGGTCAGGTCGTAGCGCAGGGCGGCGGCGCCCTCTTGCTCGTCGGTGATGAGGCTGTACTCGGTCTTGGCCAGCTCCGGGTTGTCGCGCAGCGCCTGCATCCGGAACGACGTCTCGGCCCACGCACGCTGCAGCTCGGCCCGCGAGGCCGACAGCAGCGGCTGCGAGCGCGACACGACGCTGATGGTCTGCGAGCCGGGCGTCACGCGTCCGACAACGTGCAGCGCGCTCGAGGGGACGCCGGCGGCGGTGAAGACGGTCGAGACCGCCTTGACGTCGCTCGCCTTGACCTGGAAGACGGCGCCGAGCTCCTCGTTGAAGAGCGACGCGACGGGATCGCGCACGGCCGGGTCGATGGCGTCGAGGAAGATCTCGGCGCCAACGTGGCCGGCGAAGCACATCTCGAGCACCGTCGTGACGAGACCGCCGTCGGAGCGGTCGTGGTAGGCGAGCACCAGGCCGCCCTCGTCGCGCTTCTGGACGCGGAGCTGCTTGAGGGTGGCGCACGCCTCGAAAAAGGCGCGCAGCACGGCAGCGTCCTCGACGTCGGGCGCCTCGTGTCCCAGCTCGCGGAAGACCTGGGCCAGGGCCGAGCCGCCCATCCTCTGCTTGCCGCCGGCCAGGTCGACAAAGAGCAGCACCGTCTCGGCGCCGACATCGGTGCGCAGCTGAGGCGTCCAGGTGTGCGAGATGTCGTCGACCGGGGCGAACGCGGTCACGGTGAGGCTCATGGGCGCCGTCACCTCGCGCTTGTCGCCGTCGCGCTCGCCCTCCCACGCCATCTTCATCGACATCGAGTCCTTTCCGACGGGGATCGCCAGCCCGAGCTTGGGGCACAGGTCGAGGCCGACGGCCTGGACCGCCTCGTACAGGCGGGCGCCCTCGTCCGAGTGGCTGGCGGCGCACATCCAGTTGGCGCTGAGCTTGATCCGCTCCAGCTTCTCGACGCTGGCGGCAGCGAGGTTGGTGAGGGCCTCGGCCACGGCCATCCTCGCCGACGCCGCGGCGCTGATGAGGGCCAGCGGCGTCCTCTCGCCCGAGGCCATCGCCTCGCCCGTCAGGCTCTCGTCGAAGCCGTACGAGGTCCGGGTGACGGCCACGTCGGCGACGGGCACCTGGTACGGGCCCACCATCTGGTCACGGACTACGAGGCCGGTGATGCTGCGGTCGCCAATGGTGATGAGGAAGCTCTTGGAGGCGACGGTGGGGAGGTGGAGCACGCGGTTGAGGGCCTCGGCCAGCAGCTTCGGCGGCTCGTCCTTGATCTCGGGCAGGTACGTGGCCAGGGTGGTGTCAAACGGCCTGCGCGGCGGCTGCTTGGACTGGGCCTGCCGAGCGATCTTGGGCGGCTTGCCAAACAGGATGGGCATCGGCAGGTCGATCGGGTTGCCGCCGAGCAAGCGGTCGGTGACGACCAGCTTCTCCTCGACGGTGGCGCGGCCGACGACCGAGTAGGGGCACCGCTCGCGCTTGGCGATGGCCTCGAAGCGCGGCAGGTCCTCGGCGCTGACGGCCAGGACGTAGCGCTCCTGAGACTCGTTGCACCAGATCTCCATCGGGCTCATGCTGGGGTCGTCGACGAGGACGTCGCGGATCTCGAAGCGGGCGCCGAGGCCGGCGTCGTGGACGAGCTCGGGCAGGGCGTTGCTGAGGCCTCCGGCGCCGACGTCGTGGATGCTCTGGATGGGGTTGCCCTGGCCGACGACGCCCTCGATCGACTCGGCGGCGTCGTTGAGCGCGGTGCAGGCGTCGATGACCTGCTGGCATCGCCGCTGCATCTCGGGGTTCTCGCGCTGCACGCTGGCAAAGTCGAGGTCGGCGCGCGAGGAGCTGCCGCTCGCCATCGACGACGCAGCGCCGCCACCCAGGCCGATGAGCATGCCCGGGCCGCCGAGCACGATGATGGCGGCGCCCGGCGTGATGCGCGACTTGAGCGCATTCTTGGGACGGACGTTGCCCAGGCCGCCGGCGAGCATGATGGGCTTGTGGTAGCCGCGGACCTCGTTGGCGCCCTCGGCACCCTCGACGGGCACCCGCTCGCACCACGTCCTCCAGAAGCCGCCGAGGCCCGGTCGCCCGAACTCGTTGTTGAAGGCGGCGCTGCCGAGCGGCGCGTCGGTCATGATGTCAAACGCGCTCGAGACGTGCGAGGGCTTGCCGTAGTCCTCCTCCCAAGGCTGACGGCCCTCGCCCTCGAGCAGCAGGTTGCTCGTCATGAAGCCGACCAGGCCCGCCTTGGGCTTCGAGCCCCGCCCGACGGCGCCCTCGTCGCGGATCTCGCCGCCGGATCCCGTGGCAGCACCCGGGTAGGGCGAGACGGCCGTCGGGTGGTTGTGGGTTTCGACCTTGGCCAGGAAGGGCATGGGCTCCGTCGTGCCGTCGTAGACCTGCAGGGCGGCCTTGCCGTCGGACCCGGCCCCGGGCCCGGCGCCTCGTCCGAGGGTGCGCGGGCTGGGAGCGAAGCGGGTGGCCTCGTAGCCCTCGATGACGGCGGCATTGTCGGAATAGGCGCTGATGGTGTGCTGCGGGTGCAGCTTGTGGGTGTTGCGGATCATGCCGAAGAGGGTGTTGGGCATGGGCTTGCCGTCAATGGTCCAGTCGGCGTTGAAGATCTTGTGTCGGCAGTGCTCCGAGTTGACCTGGGCGAACATGAAGAGCTCGACGTCGGTCGGGTTGCGACGCAGCGCGCCCTCGCCCTGGTCCTTGCCGGCGACAAAGGCGTCGACGAGGTAGTCGATCTCGTCGTTGGCCAGCGCCAGGCCGAGCTTGTCGTTGGCGTCGACCAGCCTCTGCTTGGCCACCTGGCGGTCCGAGGTGCCGTCCTGTCCCAGCAGGTCCACCTGCTTGAGCTCGCCCGGGCTGGCCTTGTGGAAGAGGGCCTCGCCGGTGGGGGGCACCGCCGAGATGAACTGCGTCATGCGGTCGTGGAAGAGATCCTGGATGCTCTGCACCTCGGCCGGCGACAGCGGCGACGACGACCTGAGCACGAAGGCGGCGCCCCGCTCGATCCTCGAGACGTGCTCGTGCAGCGTGCACATCTTGGCGATCTCGGTGGCCTTGCTGGACCAGGGCGAGATGCTGCCCGGGCGAGGCAGCACAAACAGGACGGTGGCGTCGCCCGATGCGCCGGCGCTTCCGCCGCCCTGGAGCGCCTGCTGGACGCGCTGACGGGTCTCGGGCAGGTCAAAGTCGTCGCCGTAGGTGAGGAGCGTGTCGAGCACCTTCCTCTGGGTCGATGCAGCGTCGGCGAGGGCGGCCTCGGCCTCGGCAGTGGTGGGGTTGACGTGGTGGGTGAAGAGGGCGTCGAGGGACTCGAGCTTGGCCACCTTGGCCTTGGCGGCCTCGAGCAGCTGCGCCCGCTTCGAGGGCTGGAACAGCGAGGAGCCGACAAAGTTGAGCATGCTGGGCGTTTGGTCGACGGATGATCCGAAGTGGCGGCAGCAAAGATGGACGGGCAGGCGTCGGCTTGGATCCCGACGTCAAAAGGTGGCAGGGTGGTGGCCGTGCGATCAACCTTGTGCTGTCGTCCCGTTGCAGGCCAAGGCGGCAAGCGATCAGAGAGAGAGCAGAGTGGGCAGGCTATTGGCAACCTGAAGAGGCTGGCGAGAACACGAGGAGGCGGGATCGGTGGGACAGCCCAACCAAGAAGAGCAAGAAAGAGGAGCGAAAGCGTGAGCACGGCCGGGGATGTCGCAGCCCAGCCAGGCCCGCACAGGGTTTGCGTCGTCGGACAGGCAGGCAGGCAGGCGGGGCTCCCCCGCCCGGAAGAAGCAAGCTCAATTTTTTCCCAGCTGCCTGGCCCTCTAGCCGGCAGGGCGTGACTCGCCGGCATGCTGCCCGCTGCAGGCCAGGCCTGACCAGGCTGGCCAACGACGAGGGAAAGATTCCCGTCTTCCGAGGAAGACGCAGGTCTGCTCGGGCCAACCGCCGCCGGTGCCCCTTGGACAGGCACCAGGCTAGGCTGGCCGGCTCGCTTTTTTCGCCGCGCCTCGACCCTTATCGCAAGACCAACACCACCGCCTCGCCTCGTCGTTCCGGCACCTCTTTCCCCGCACGTCGCCATCGCGGATCCCAGATCGGACCCACACAACACAAGGCGGATCGCCCGACCTATTGCTGTCCTAAGAGAGACCTCGTTGCGTACGCGCCTCGCCAGCTGAGCATTCGAGGATCTTCCCCGCAAGGTCCATCTCGGGCGCACTCAAAAACCTCTCTTTCCCGCCTCTGTCTTTCTCGTCTGAGCCTCCCTCGCCCGCACAACATGGCACCCAAGGTCGACGTTAACGACCCTGAAAATGCTCGGCTGCTCGAGCTGTTTGCTTCGATCTCGCTGACCGGGCCAAAGGCGATCGACACGCTCAACAACCCCAAGCACACCGCCGCCATCGAGGCAGCCATCCAGCACCATCAGCTCGCCTCCAAGAACCTCGATGCCAAGACCTCGACGCTCGTCGTTGCCGCAGCGACGGCCAAGGACGCCACCGATGCGACAAGGCGCAGCTATGTCATCGAGCGCGTCCTCGACGGCAGCCTAAAGTCGGCCGATCAGATCAACGCGGCCTACAAGTTCCTCGAGAGCAGCGGCGGCAACCCTGACAAGGCCGCGTTCGACAGGGAGTGCGGCGTCGGCGTCACCGTCAGCCCGGAGCAGTGCCGCGCTGCGGTCGACTCGTACATCGCCGCCAACCAGGCCGACATTGACGCCGTCGAGGGCTGGCCCAAGCTCAGCGGCATCCTCGCCGGCGTCAAGACGACGCCCGAGATGCGCTGGGCCAACGCCATCGACATCAAGAACGCCGTCGAGGCGGCACTTCTGGAAAAGTACGGGCCCAAGAAGGCGCCCGCGCCCAAGGAAAAGGGCGCCAAGAAGGCCAACGCGGCAAAGGCCTCGGCCAAGGACGGGCCCGCCAAGGAGGCCGCAGCAGCCAGCGGCACCGTCGACCCGGATGCCATGTTCAAGGAAGGCTTCCTCGCGGCCCTCCACAAGCCCGGCGAGAACCCGCAGATCAAGCCGGAGCTGCGCGAGCAGCACCTGGCTGCGACCAAGGGCATGGTCATGACGCGCTTCCCGCCCGAGCCCAACGGCTTCCTGCACATCGGCCACTCGAAGGCGATCGCCATCAACTTCGGCTACGCCCGCTTCCACGGCGGCCTCACCTACCTCCGCTACGACGACACCAACCCCGAGGCCGAGGAGGAAAAGTACTTTGAGAGCATCCTCGAGATGGTGCGGTGGCTCGGCTTCGAGCCGTTCAAGATCACCTACTCGAGCGACTACTTCCAGCGCCTCTACGACCTCGCCGTCGAGCTCATCAGGCGCGGCAAGGCCTACGTCGACCACTCGACCGGCGACGAGATCAAGGAGCAGCGCGGAGGCCCCGAGCGAGGCCCGCGGAAGCCGAGCCGGTACCGCGACCGCCCCGTCGAGGAGTCGCTCCGGGAGTTTGAGGACATGAAGAACGGCAAGTACGCGCCAGGGACGGCCACGCTGCGCATGAAGCAGGACCTCGAGAACGGCAACCCGCAGATGTGGGACCTGATCGCCTACCGCGTGCTCGGCGCCGTCCACCACCGCACGGGCACCGACTGGTGCATCTATCCGACCTACGACTTCACGCACTGCCTCGTCGACAGCTTCGAAAACATCTCGCACTCGCTTTGCACGACCGAGTTTGTGCTGTCGCGCGAGTCGTACGACTGGCTGTGCGACGCGCTCGAGGTGTACAAGCCCAGGCAGTCCGAGTACGGCCGGCTCGACCTCGAGGGCACCGTCATGTCGAAGCGCAAGATCCTCAAGCTCGTCAAGGAGGGCCACATCGAGGACTGGGACGACCCGCGCCTCTTTACGCTCATCGCCCTGAGGCGGCGCGGCGTGCCTCCCGGCGCGATCCTCTCATTTGTCAGCGCGCTCGGCGTCACGTCGTCGCAGTCGACGATCCAGATTACGCGCTTTGAGCAGTCGATCCGCCAGTACCTCGAGAGCACCACGCCCCGGTTGATGATGGTGACCAAGCCGCTCAAGGTGACCATCGAGAACCTGCCCGAGGACTTCTACCTGGAGCTCGAGAAGCCGCTGCACCCCAAGGTGCCCGAGATGGGCACCAACAAGATCCCCTTCACGCGCACCGTCTACATTGACGCCTCGGACTTCCGCAAGGTGGACTCCAAGGACTACTTCCGCATGGCGCCTGGCAAGACGGTGGGCCTGCTCCAGGTGCCGTTCCCCGTCACCTGCACGTCGTTCAAGGTCGACGACAAGACGGGCGAGCCGATCGAGGTGGTCTGCACCTACGGCGACGAGTCGACGCCCAAGCCCAAGACCTACATCCAGTGGGTCGCCGAGCACGCGGCCAGCGGCAGCCCCGTCCGGGTCGACGAGACGCGCATCTACCACCAGCTCTTCACCAGCGACAACCCGGCCGCCGAGGCCAACTACCTCGACCACATCAACAAGGACAGCCTCGAGATTGTGCCGGGCGCCTTCCTCGAGGTGGGTTTCTGGGACGTGGCGCGCAAGTCGATTGAGCAGGCGCGCAAGGAGGCCGAGGTGCGCACCAGGCACGCCGAGCAGGACGCGGCCAAGGCGCGCGCCCAGACCGACGTGCCCGAAGGCACCGGGGCGGGCGCTCCGCAGCGCAAGCCCGAGCAGCTGCTCGGCAAGGAGTGCGTCAGGTTCCAGGGCATGCGCACCGCCTACTTTACGCTGGACCGCCTCAGCGGCGACCTGGATCTGTTTGGCGACAAGTCGGACAAGAGCGGCAAGATTGTCCTCAACCGCATCGTCTCGCTCAAGGAGGACAGCAAGAAGGACGACAAGATGGCGCCCAAGAAAGGCAAGGGCGGCGGTGGCAACAACAACAAGAAGTAGGCAGCGGGCGTGCCGCTCCCCGCTCCCCATACCAGCGCAGCAGAGTAGTGACCGGCGGCCGGCGGGCGGGGCGTCCTCGACCGCCTGCTCCAAGCTGACATTGAGGCTACGGCTCGAGCATCGTCAGAGCGACCCTTGTACTACCACACACGTCCCGAGCCTGCATCGCAATACGCATCGTCATCGACAGTCGCGGCCATAGACCCGTGCCGACCGCAACCTGACGAGAGTCGGGGTGTGCCTCGGCCGAATTTGAGCGGAACCGAAAGCTTTTCGGCACGTGAGATGTCGTTCAGAAATAGAGGAATTCGAGCTCGGGTGCCCGATCTGCGCATCCGAAATTTTCGAGAGCCTGAGCGTGGCCTGGGCCCGCCTGGCTGAGCCAGCCACAAGGGCACCAGGCGAGGCCAAGCCAAGCCAGGCCAGGCCAGGCCAGGCAAGACAGGAAGGGCTAGCGCAGAGGTCGAGCCAGGCGGGTGGGTGGAAGCCCTGCCTCTCTGGCTGGTTGCGGGCGAGGGCCGCCCCACCGCACCGCGAGCCAAGCCGCCGCTGCCATCCCGCCCTCTCACCTTGACCTACACCATCCAACACCCACCCTCCCCTCAAGGCCCGTTGTCAAGATGGTGAGTGGCGCCATGACGGCCGTCGTGATGGCCGCATGGTGCGGCTACGGTGGCCATCGAGACCGATGCCGATGTAGGCGTCCTGCTGCCCGAGTGGTAAGAGCGAGGAGCGCTGACAATCTCGCAAAACACCCCCTATGCTGCTCCTATCCCCATGATCGCCTCGACGAACCTACGACGCTGCACCGCCACCGCCACACTTCTGATGCATCGACCGACCATCGCCACTTCGACGTCCTTCCCGTACCCCTCCGTTAACCCCCACCTCCCACACACCTTATCCTATCCCCCACCGATCGACCACGTCACGACCCCTCGTCGATCTCGCCTCGACTCTGCCACGATCCACCGCCGCCGCACCGAATCGCCTCCGCCTTCGCTTCGACCGGGCCTCGACCTACGATTGCGCCTCACAGCCTTCCCAGAAGTCTTTCCGCACCAAGGTCACCCTGGCCAAGGCTGCCAAGCAGAACCGGTGTGTATCCCTCCTCCGACTTGCCAACCGACCAGCCGACCGACCCTGCGACACGCCAGCCGCCGGACGCAGCACACGTTGTTCTGCAGCAGAGAGGCAGGGAGAGGGAGGAAGACGAAGTGAAGGCTGGAGGATTGGTTCACTTGTCCCCGATGGGACTACATATGATGGAGATAGGAAGCGAATGGGTCGCTCTCGGCATCTTGATGGGGATGACGGACTGGGGCTACATGGCCTCCTCAGCAATGGCGTCCCCATGGTCAGGCGCCACTCGAATTCCGGGGTGGTAGAGGACGGAACCTCTCCAACGGCCTTGCTGGAAGGGACAGGGCGAAAACGGTCGCAAGCCCGCCCTTGCTGGAGCTAGACGGGCGACATGATCTTCTCGGGTCAGGAGTGGATGGTTATGTGGGCAGATCTCCGTGTCTCTCTGCTGCGGACAACACCTGCGGCACCCAACCTGCGTCTCGGCGGCTGGCGGTCGGCGATCGGCAGTCGCACCATCCCACAGCAACCAGCACGCAGACGCTGACTCTCGCCTCACCTTGACCTCTTTCGACTCCGCGCGCACCTTCAGCCCCATCCCGCACTGGTTCCGCATGAAGGCGGACAACAAGATCCAGTACAACGCCAAGAGGCGCCACTGGCGACGAACCAAGCTCGGCCTCTAAACTGTTGGTATCACTCGTGGTGGCCGTTTCGGAGGGTATCGCGGCAGCGCGGCGGGCGAGCGGGGGACATAGATTGGGAGGGATGCAGCGTAGGGTGCCGTGGGGAAAGGAGCAGCGCTCGCTCGGCTCGTTCAGGGGACGCCCTCGACGGATTGACCACGGCGAATCGAGGCAAGCCGGCATCCGCATCCGCGCCAGACGAAAGACATACTGACCCTCCCTTTCTTCCTCTTCCTCTACCTCTCCTCATCCGCTACTCTGGCAAATCAGGTCAAACCCGACAGTTTTTCCAGGTCCCAGCTGCTCTGTTCGCCTCTACGCCCCCTCCTTTCTACCCACAAAACCACCCTCTCTCCCTGTACACCTATGATTCCGCCACCGCCCTCTCGGCTCTCGGCTCTCTCCCTCCATCTCTCTCTCTAGGCCGTCAGCCAGAGAGGACCGAGAGCGGTGTGGCTACTTCAGCAACCACAAAACTGCATCCCGCTCGATAGCGGGTGATCCAACCAGTCCAGACCAGGCCAGACCAGAACAGGCTCGATCAGGGCCCAGGCCCTCAGGGACCCGACGAAACGGCACAGAGGAGTCGAGCACGAGAGCTCTGCCCAGCAGGAGCAGGGAGGCTGACGACGCGAGGCCGAGGCAAGGAGAGCACTTGGGGATCATAAAAGGCGCCTAAGGTACAGGATTGCGTCGTGGGGAGGGGGAAAAAGGGCGTGCGGCGTAGAAGCAAGGGTCGCAAGGGGAAGCGGGGTCACGGTTGAAGTGCGGACAAAGACGAGGAGCTCAGAGCTGCATCGAGGCGCTCCGATGGCTTGGCTGCGGCGCATGGAGCGCCCACACTGCCCCCGGAACGTCTCGAGGGAGCGTCGCGGCGCCGATTGACGCCTCAGGCATCCGTCGACGCCTTGACGTCCTCCTCGGCCTTGGTGGATTCGGCCGTCGTGTCGGGTTCCGGCTTGTCTTCGGCGGGTGCCTCGTCCTGGGCCGGGGCATCCTGACTGGGGATGTCCTTCGTCTCTCCCTCGCTCTGCCTGCTGATGGTGGCCTGCAGTAAGCGGTCGCGGGAGTGCAGACGAGGCGGACCGGTTGCGAGGTGGTCGTCAGCACGGGCACAGTGCACGCCTCGGCGGGCCCGTCTTGGGCCAGCGCAGCCGGACGACGCGCGTCCACTCACCTGCCACTTGTTGTAGAGCGCCTCGGCCCTCTCCTTGAAATGGAACTCGTCGTCGCGGGGGATCTCGTCGAGCTGGACAATCTTCTTCATCACCTTGCCAATCTTCGAATGCTTGAGCTGGTCGAGCGTCATGTCGTCGTAGGCTTCGACCAGCTTGAAGGTCTCGTCGTTGGCCGGCATGTCCTGCGGTGCGGTCGCGCGATGGTGTTGGGTGCGCTAACTGTCAGCCACGGAAGTGCAAGTGAAACTGCCTGGCCGGGCCGGACACTCACCTCGCCCTGCAGGCCATCCTTGGCGGTCAGGAAGGCCCTTTGAAGCTTGTGGCGCCACTCCTTGACCATCTTGACCGCGGGATCCGCTGTTGCAGTGGATGCGCCGGTGACGGAAGAGGGCGGAGCAGCATTAGCCTTCGCACTCCGATCGGTCGCAAGGAGGGCCTACTTTCATTGACTCACAGTCCTCGTCTCCTTCTTGCTCGCCGTTGCTGGCCTTCTTGGCGTGGCTGCTGGGCTTGGCAGAGGCCTGCTGTCGCGGTCGAGAGGGGACGACAGGACGCATGTCAGTGTCGATGCTTGCGCCTCGCGACGTTTGAAGATGAAGCCTGGCTCCCAAATGCCATGGCGCGCGCGTTTCGAGAGCGGCCTGCCTTCCCGAGAACTCACCTTTGCCGCATCTGCCTTTGCGACCTTGGCCTTCTTCCGCTTGTCTACAGCGCTCTCACGAATCTTTCCGACACCGTCATCGTCGCGCTTTCGCTTCTTGGGGGCGACCTCCTCATCCTCGTCGCCCTCCTCCTCGAGCTGGTCCTCGTTCTCCTGCTCCTCTTCCTCGGCCGCCAGCTTGGCGTTTTCGTGCATTCGGACAATGTCGTTCTGCTCCTCGTTCCAGGCGAGGGGGTCGTTGCCGGCGCACTTGTAGGCGTCCTTGAGCTCGCCGCCCTTCTTTGATGGGTCGCGGATGTAGTTCTCGATCTGCTTCTGCGTAAGCTGCGAAAGATCGCGAGCGGTGGCAAAGTGGCTGAGCGGCACGAGGTGCGCAAAAGGGGGTTTGAAGCAATCAGCAGGCTGCGTCGCTGCGCAGGGCATCTCTACCCTTTCCCGGGAGCACTCACTAGTCCGCGGCGGGGAAGAAGCGGACGATGTAGTGATCGCGGGATCGCCTCTCCTTCAGGACGGCCTTGGGGACGTTTTCGTCGTCGACGATCTGGCAGCGACAAGAGGAAAGAGTTCAAGGCGGGATCTTGGATGAGCAGCCATCCACGCACATGCTCCGGAGCAAACAGCCGACGGTGGATCTGCTCTCTGACTCACGATACCAGGCCACGGCGGGTATCCCCTGACTTTTGCGAGGACGAGGTCGTTGGCATTGCTGCGAGGGATTCGCGGAGACGAAGAGGCAGAGAGGATCCGAGGGCAATGTCAGTCAGTTACGTGCGCGCTACGCAAGTCGAGGTGGACAGTACGTACTACTTGGCAGGTGTGCCTCGGGCGGCAGCCTGGGAACCGGATCCAGGGCTCATGTTGGGGAGGTCCGTTGCGGTCGGGGAGGGAGTTTGAGCAGCGGCGATGTGGGGCGACAGACGGAGTCGATCCGTTGCGAGGTCCGGAGAGAAAAGGGGGTCCTTTGTTTGATGCTGCGGACGAAGGTTGCCAGACGCGCGGTAGGATCGATGGAGACGGCGCGAGGTGGGTGTAGGTGGTGGAGGGAGGAGAGAAGGTGTCGATGAGGATGGCGTCGCGCGCTTCCCTCGGGTTGGGTTCGGGGCGGGGCGGGCGGTCTGGCCAGGCAAACCCTCTTTGGGTCCAGCCTGATCTGGCAAGGCCTGGCTCGATCCAGCTTCTCCACCGCAGGTTGGCCAGGCCAGCGCGCGCGTGAGCACCGTGCGCCATGTGCAGGCAGTCAGCAGCAGGGCCGCGGGCCGGGCCCGACTGGGCAGGCAGAGAAAGGCAGGCCAGGCCAGGCTCTGGCCTCGGCGGGCTGCCTGTCCCCAGCTCCACAGCGGTGGTCTGCACGCGACGCGCTCCAGGCTTTGGGCCTCAGGCAGGCCAGGCCAGGCAGGCCCCCAGCTGTCCCCGAGAGGGCTAGGAGGTGATCGTGAGGTGAGGTCGGCTCCGAAGGCTACTCCGCCTAATCCAGCGAGGCAGGCGCGGGCCCCCACTGGCCGAACCGCCGATGACGAGGCACCCTATATAAGCACAGGTACGCTCACCACCACCAACCTGCCTTCTGTCTATCCTCTCGACGCCACCGCCGAGGACCACTTGCTCGCACAAACATCGGTGCGCTCTCTGCTCCGAGCTCATCATCGAAGCGCCGCTTTGGCTCGATACCGCCCCCAACGCCGCGCGAGACTTTGTCGTAGCCCCTTAGTCCCCAGAGCAGTCGTCGCTCGCCCACATCCGTTGTTCCGACCGCCCTCGAGTCTGCGCCGCGTGGTCTTGCAGCCTCAGGTCTCTCGATCCCTCTCTTGCCGCTGTCGTGTGCCTTCGACGCCGTCGCAGCGCCCAGTTTGACGTTGCACAGGCCGGCCTGCCGCCTTTCCGAGTTGCACCGTGTCTGCCCCTCACAGTCGTCATGAGCAACAGGGTTGTGGTGAGTGGGGTTCGGGAACTCTTCCGTACCCACCTCGCGTTGCGTTCTGAGCAGGAACACTCGGCTCACGGCGCTTGTTGTCCTCTCTGCGCACGCCCCGACCAACAGTCACAGGTCTACCGGACCATTATCGACGATGTGATCAACAACGTGCGTCAGGACTTTGACGACATGGGCATCGAGAAGGAAGTGCTCGAAGAGCTGCAGCGTGTGAGTTGGCAACCATGTAGGGCGCCCTTCTACGATGCCTCTCCCCCTTCCATACTGAGTCTTGTCGCCTCGTCCTCCGACCGCATACGCGCAGTCGTGGGAGGCCAAGATCATTGCGACGCAGGTCGCCGAGTTCGATGGCGCCCCGTCACTCCCGCCGGTCAACTCTCGCTCATCGAAACAGGAACCGAAGAGCGAGGCCAAGCCGGACGTCAAGAAGGAGGACTCCAACGGCAAAGGCGACGAACGAGACGGCCAGCCGCGATCAAAGCAGGCAAAGGGCGACAACTCGGCAGACGTGGCCAGCGCCGTGGACCGCAGCACCTCGAACGGTCACGGCGCCGCGGCTTCAAGCAGCCAGGATGACCCGGCAGCCGCTGGCGAGAAGCGCAAGAGGCCGAGCGATGGCGACGAGATCGGCAGCGACCTCGACGACTCGGACGACGATGATGCCGACGGCGGCGTCGACGGTGACGGCAACGACGACATGCTCCTATGCCTCTACGACAAGGTGAGCCGGCGTTCAGTCCCCCTCCACATGCATGCAGATGCCGTCGGGCCGGGTTCTGACAAGCTGACACGGCCCATCCCGCCTCTGCTCTTCTCGTACCGTGTCGCAGGTCCAGCGAGTCAAGAACAAGTGGAAGTGTGTCCTGAAGGACGGCGTCGCCTCGATCGATGGCCGCGACTACCTCTTCACCAAGTGCAACGGGTGAGTCGCTGAGAGCCCTCTTGCTTGTTTGTCGACCAGACGTTGCGCGACGCTGACTCATTCACAACATCCTCTCCAATGACGCTCAGCGAGTTCGAGTGGTGACCCGCTCCTCCGGCCCAGTGGCCACCGCAGCTTCCGAACCGACCTTGGCCAAAACAAGCATCCAGCCTCGACCCTACCATCAGCATCCTCGACAACAGCGCAGCTTGCCACGCGGCGCGCGCATCTCGATCCAGCGCGGCTCGGCATATCAAAGGCGGGTTAGGACCCGAACCGCGACTTGTGCGGACGTCGTAGGCCCCGCTCGTCTCGTTCTCTCGAGCCAGCGGGCCTCGGCCACAACAGGGCGCGCCTGTGCCTCTGACCCTAACCCGGCATCCCCCTCATCTCCAGCACCAGCCAGCACCTGTACCATATACCTCACGGCCCACACACAGTTCCCATGTTTCCAAAGCAGCCTTCCCCCACTCTGTTGTCGAAACCAGCGCTCGAGGCACGCCGACCAGCAGTGAGTTTCGAGTCGAGATGAGCTGAGCTGAGCTCGGCCCAGGTGCAGTGACAGGGGTCGGAAGTTGTGCGTGCAGGGTGATCGGTATCGTACAAGGTCGGTCGGTCGTTCGGATGATCGAAGGAGATGCTGGGCAGAAAGTCGAAAAGTAGTGGATGGGCTCGCCGTCGAGCGGGTGCAAGGTCGGGAACGAGGGCGGGAAGCCGAGACGGCCTCGTCAGGCAAAGACGCTCTTTCTCGAGAGGACGTCTTCCTTTGCGTCGCTCTTGAGCTTGGCGCGCTTGGTCTTGAGCGCCTCGTTCTGGTTGACGCGCGTGGCAAACTTCTCGCCCTTTTCCTTGCGCAGCTGGTGGCGGATTGTGTTTGGCGAGATGTACTCTGCCACGGAGCAGACAAGGACGTGAGCCAGAGGGGACACGGAAGGTTAGCTGGCGCCCGCCGTTACGGGGCTGGTGCAGAGGGCCTGGCCAGATCGCCGCGCCGACGCCGCGATGCTCACCTGGGTTCTCAAACACGGTCGCGCCGCCAAAGCTGCCCTCAAAGACGCGGATGGGGCTCAGGACCATCCTGGGCCCGATTTCGACGAGCGTGGGCTGCTTGGCCTCCTGCTTTGGCCTCGACTTTTTGCCCTCTGCGCCCTCGGCCGCTGCAATCAGGGCCGTCGCGCCCGGGTCGTTTTCGATGATCTGGTAGTTGCGGAACCACACCTTGTTGTCGACGATGGAAAACGAGAGGACGTGGTCGACAAAGGGCTTGGAGCGCCGCGCGCCACGGGGCACGCCAAACATGTGGGTGAACATTTCCTTGATGAGGGTCCAGTGGGGCGACTCGTCGAACGCCTTGTCGAAAGAGAGGAGCGGCCGCGATCCCTTGAGGCAGTTGCCCGTCATCTTGAGCTCGTCCATGGTGTGAATGTTGTGCACGTGGAACTTGGCCGAGGGCCCGTTGGGCGTCTTGGAGGCCCACATGTAGAGGTCCTCTGCCTTGCGCGCCTCAAAGTAGAGGGTGTTGTTGCAGTTGTGCAGCTCGGCGAGCTCGTTGAGCAGGTGGAGCTGCGACTTGCTGTCGAGCTTCGAGTCCTTCTTCGAGTGGGGCATGAGCGTCTCGAGGTCGTTGATCAGGTGGCGCATCCGCGACGTGACGCCCCGCGAGGGCAGCATCAGCACGCGCTGCTTGTTGCGCCGGATGCCCGGCGCACCCTCGCCGTCGGCGGCCGCAGCACCATCGTCGGCCTTTCTCTTTCCCTTGTTGGCGACGCCGGCGCTCTTGGCAGCCTGTCGGTAGACCGAGGCCATGGCGGTCGGTGGTCGATGTGGCGGTGGCGGGTGGTGGCGGGAGCTGCGTAAAGCGGTACGGGCAGCGGCGGTCGAGCAGGGGAGCTGGGCGGTTGCTGGAGATGTCTAAGCGATGGCTGGCGAGCGTAGGGTGCGAGGATCAAGGCTGCGGTTCGATAGGTGGAGAAGGGCCAGGCCAGGAGCAGCGACGACGGCGAGGAGGCAGGGGGGACCGCGACAAGAAGAAACCCGCTTCGCCAGGGGCCAGCTTCCAAATTTTCGAGAGCCCTCTCCCAAAAAACTGCGGCCAAAGCATTACATAAGCGGCCCCTCGACCTGGCTTTTGGTCTTCGGTTCCGACTTAGAAACGGACGGGCCGGGATCGTACGTGGCCATTTGCAATTCGGGTCCGGGGGCTGCGTATTTGAAATTCTGGCCAGACGAGCGCGACGCAGCTGCTGCTTGCTGCTTGCCTGCTGGCAGGCTTGGCGTCTCGGGGTCCGAGGTGCTGGTGCGCATGAAACAAGGCTTGCCTGCCTGCCTGCTGGCCCTGCCTGCCTGCTGGCCCTGCCTGCCTGCTGGCCCTGCCTGCCTGCTGGCCCTGCCTGCCCAGGGCGGAGCTGAAACCACCACCGCCACCTGGGGCTCAGCTGGCAGGCAGGGCTGCCCTCGTTGCCTCATGGAAGGCCAAACAGGGTAGGTGGGCCCAAGGCCTGGTCCGCCACCCGCACCGCTTGTTCCCATGTCGTCTGCGACATCGAGCTCGACAGCGAGCGATTCAGGCAGACAAGCTGGCCAGCCAGGTCAGACAGCCAGACAGACCAAACAGATACCTGTAGAGCTCTCGCCTGCGCAGAGCAAGAATACGGTGTGGACAGCTGACGCGCCACCACCGCCATCCGTCGCCAGCGACGACGAGATCGAAGCCCAGCCAAGCCCCCCGAAACCGCGCGGGCCCTCTTGCCCGTGTGTCCTCCTGGCAGATGATCAGGCGATGTTTCGAGAACCCCGACTGGCATGGCTCATCCTTGCATTTTCATTGGGAGCGGGTGCGCCAAAGACGAGGAGGCTGAACCGTGGCGACCCGCTTGCGATGCGATGGAAGACAGCCGGGCAGGCAGCGCCCTGGCCACGGTCGCCTCGGGATGAGCTTCCAAGCTCGCCCCGCCTACTGTACCGCTTGCTTCCCCGTCGAACGAGCCGTCTTGACGGCCTCGACCGACGAACTCGGAGCCCGAGAAAAGGCCAAGACAAAAAGACCTGAGCGTATGTACCTTCAGCTCGCTCGCAGCCCGCCAGTCAGCACCGCGGTGCTATATCGAGCGACATGTCGGTCAACGTGGCGACAACCACCATGTTTCTCAAATCCAAGGGCCGTTCATGTCCGTCTTCGACCGCTGACCGCTGAAGCGATGGCAGACACCCTCGGTCGACATCTGTACGTCTGCATGGGAGCGAGGGCGTCGCCATCCACGTACACACATATGTGCAGATTCCGTAGCAGCCGCCACAGCTTCAAACGCGCGGGGTGGAACTCAGTCATGCCGACAACGTATCGTCTAGGTGCCAGGCGGAGCTGCCCTCGCTCTGTAGGCGACGGACGAATTGTTCTGCATCCCGCCGGCGCCGGTGCCTTCCCAGCTGTACATGATGGACAGATGGAAGTAGCCGACGACCGCGGTTCCAACCTCCTCGCATCGACACGGCGCGACACCTGCCTCTCGATGCGGCAGGCAAGACTGGATGCGGTCGGGTCATGGGTCGACGATCATGCTCAGCGACCTGGCGCCCGTGCGCGCGGCTTGCGGCCGTCTGACCTGGGCGCCTTCTGTCGGAACGAGGAGGAACGAGGTAGGGGGTCATCGAGGCTGGCGAAATGCGGAGAAGCTCGCTTCAGTAACATCATCGACCGAGTCGAGGCGAGACCGGATCAGGCCGCAGCACGCAGGCCTGGGAGCAAGAGGCCAAGGTAGGGCAGGTGGCTTTTGGGCATAACAGACGCGCAACGAGCGTGCTCAAGGGGCGAGGACGAGGTAGTTTTGCCGAAGCCACGATGCTCGGACCGGAGGAAGGGTTGCATTGCCGAATCCCCTGCCCTCTCCTGCCACTTTAGCCGGTCTCGCTCTCGCTCTCATCGCCACCGGCAACACCACCAGGATCGGAAACGGGGGCGCGCGCCCTCTCCAGGCCAAGCCTTATGATCGGGCCCAGCAGACCTGTTCTCTCTGGCCGTGCGCACTGTCGCACAGCATGCAAGCTCAGCGCACGCGTAACGCCTTCCCACGTTTGCGTCATGCTGTGAGCGTCTCGCCGGCGCCCGAGACCAATGATGATGATGCCCTCGTCCTCGCCACGTTTCGTGGACTCTTATCGGGATAGAGCATGGTCCTACCCCAGAAAGTTATTCCCGGAGCTACCGGCTGATCCCTTCCTGCAACGGTACAGCAACGTACTCACGTATTGACCGTGCAGTACCGGCAAGCACCGCGCCGCCGAGTCGAAGCTGCGTCGCGAAGAGAAGGCTCCACGCATGGGCCGGGTCGGGTCGCTGCGCCGCACCCCTGATCCTCGCCCGGTCGGGAAAACCACGGCGACTATCTCGCTGTTTTCGAGCTGGCCCCTCGGCGCGCAGCTTGATCAAGCCCACCGACAACCTTCCGAACCCATCCCGACCAGGCAATCGACCGCCGGCAACGCCTTTCGAGAGCATAGGCCGACAACGTGCCAGCTTGCACGCCATACAATGCGGCTGAATTCAGGAGGCGCTGTCAGCTGGCCGCATCGACGGGCATGGGAACGGACCAGGTCGGCGGCTCGGACGTCGCACCCGTCAGGCCAGACTGCGGACAAACGGCGAAAAGAGCGGCAAGCGCCACGTGGAGGTACCGACAGTGAAAAGCCCGGACCGGTCCGAATGCCAGCGCGATGCCCCGGTTGCCAGACAGAAGAGCCTGGCCGGCAAAAACACAGCCACCTTGCCCGTTGCCCGTAGCTTTCAGAATTGATCACGCTTCAGAGTCATCAGCGAATGTGAGAACGTCGTCGCGTGCCTGGAACAATAATGAGCGAGTGATACCGTAGATGCTACAGTACTGAAAGAAGATTGCCCTGTTTGGTGATCGCGATGACGTTGAGTTGAAATGGCGGCGGGCAGGGGGCCAGGGCCCACAGCCGGGACATGGCGCTGCGGCCTGAGTTGCGACAGCCGAGCGATTGGTGTGAAAGGGCAAACGAGCTTGCCAGCGAACAACCAAGCAGCGCAGGCGCAGACGAGGGAGCGGCAACTTTTTTCCCCCTTCGCCAGGGCAGCAAGGAGCGACAGGGACCTGGGTCCGCCACGACGCTGGGACGGCTGGAAGCTCTGCGAGAAACTTGGGGTGGCAAAGGCACATGTGTTTTTTATGCGGAAAAAGAGGCCAGACCAGGTGCGATAGGGACCGGCTGAGACGGAGATGGAGGGCGACGTCGACGACACCTCTCGCGACAACACCAGCAGGGCAGGAGGCAAGGGGGCCGAGTCGGGGCGGGCGGAAACAGGAATTTTAGACGAGCGACGTTTTTCGCCCGCCGACGCAGATTGACCGCGTGGTCGAGCGACTTCAGAGACCCGCCCGCTTGCGTGCGTGCGTCTCATGCGGATGACGACGGCCGCAGCATGCAGAAGCACCGCCGAGAGCTCCAGCTTGGCTACAGATACACCGTCGCAAGAGCGAGGGGTCGACGACGACGGCGACGACGACAAGACTCTACCCCTGCACGGGGCAGCAAGACTGTCGACTCAGACGACAACCGATCCCGAACCCCCGCGCCCGTTCTGCCTGGCCCCCGAAGCGCCAGCCATCAACAGCAAGCAGCCAAGCGCCGTACATACTCGTCGGGCCTCGGGCATTTCTGCGGCCGTCCGCCGCCTCTCGTCTGCCTGCCTGGGCCCCGTTGCACGACCACGCCCGGCCGGTGCCTGATCGACCGCCTCGAGTCGGGTTGCGCCCTCTCAACAGGCACAGCGAAGCCGAGCGGCCTTTGAATACGCTCTGGCAACCGCCGAGACGAGCCCCTTGAGATGGAACACGGCTTGCTGCAAGAGGCATGGATGTATGGCTGGCCACCCTTCTTGACGCCTCGATCAACAACGGGCAGCCTGCATCCTGCCGCACTGGCCTCTTGCTCATCGCATCACTGGTGCCTTGCTCTCGGCCCGTCGGCTGATCAGGGCCGAAAGAGTCGAGCGAGAGCTCAGTTGGCGTTGCAGCAGGTGGGTAAGGCACCAGGCAGTAGGTACCGTATGAACGGGAGAACGAGCCCGTTCTACGGTTTGCTTTTGCGAGCAAGAACAAGCGACCGTTGCCGAGATGCCCGCCCCTGCCTGGAAGGCGAAGCAGGAAACGGCAAAAGTCATAGCCGACGTCTTTCTTCCCCTCCCCCACCCTTTAGCCCTGGGTCTGCATCGACCATCTCTGGCAGCGAATGGAGCGGCGTCCATGGAAGATGAGCTGAGAGAAAATGATGACTCCCTCGACGCTAGCTCAAACGGTCAAAGCCAGATAGAAGTGGACCGACTGCCTGAAGTCCTGTTTCATATTCGTCATGGCTCTCGTCGACGAGGCTGTGTTTACACCCGCTGCAGTCTCTGAGCGATTTCGAGAAGCCCGGCGGGGAGGTCGAACCTGGGAAGGCCAGGCGACGCCACCGCCTGTCGAGCTGCCTGCCTGCCTGCCAGAAGGCTCGAGACGGCGAGAGCGTGGCGGCAGTGCAATATGCAGTGCTTCACATCGCCAGAGGAATCTGCGTCGATCTCGGCATAGCCGTTGTCGTTGCTAGCAGCCCGTTGTGTTCCCTTGCCCTTCTCTTGCAGCTCGGGCAGACACAAGGTCCATGCCGGGGTCCGCTTCCCCCGAGCACAGACAATCCAGCCGGCGCTCTTCGCCGCACCGCGATACAACCGGGGCCGCCCTCGTCAACAGATGGACGGATCTGGGGTGTCTCCGTGCCTCCTTTGCGGTGCCTGAACAACCTCGGCGAGT